AGAAGCATACCTTGGCTGCAGAGGGGAAGGAGTGAAACTTCAGGCACTTCCGTTGGCCAGTATGGCTGGAAGCAGTTTACTGTTTTCATTTGTCTTAAGCACAGACAGGCCTGCAGCTAGTTGTATTGCTCAAAAAAGGTCTTCATAATTAAAATAGTAGTTGCATTTAGGAAGGTTAATGCTGAGCAAGGAACAGCAGGGAGAAGTTACATGGTCTGAATGTGGTAAGAGAAAAAGTACTTGAAACCTCATATTATGATACCCTGATAATCCAGCAGACTTCCCACTTTCATCACAGTTTCAACATGAATTTGTATTTTTACTTCCAGCTGATTTCAGTAGTTGACTGGTGTTTGAAGACTATAAGTGAAACCTAATTGCTGACAATGCTGTCCCACTTCTCTGTTTATATATATAAAATTGTATATATCCATACAAACAGGGATGCTTAAAATACTAGCAGAGTGAGTGAAGGAGAGAAATACAGAAAAGCAAGCCAAATAAATTCATACCCTAAAAGTACTTCAAAACGTAGAGGTTTCACTTCAAAAAATAACAGCATTTTATTGTTTTGCATAGCTTATTTCAGTTTAGTTCTGCTTAGTTAGAATTTTTGCTGGTTACTAAGTCGTTTATGTATATAAAATTTTCAACTTTTTTTTTATCTGCAGTCAATGCAAGACAGAACACATAGTATATAGATGCAGGGATCCAAAATATTTTCAACTTCAGACACAAGGATTTGTTATTTTTCTTAGAACCAGTTTAAGAAAATAGCTCTGACAAGTTTGCATGTATAAATATACAGTGTAGTACACCCTTCAGATGTTGGTCAGTATTTTAGCCTGTTTTCCAAGTCTTCCATTCTCTTTGTCATTTCTTCCAGTAGACAGAAGTTAAGGAAAGAGAACTACTGACAGGATGCATTAATAGAAAAGTGGTGTCAGCTCCCTGATTGCTGTGGGCTGTAAACTTGCAGTTCTTTCTCGTCTTTGTTGCCTTCTTTGACTCCCAGTAGTTTCTGATAGAATACACACTGTATTTTATTGTTCTGCTTTGATCAGCTGAGAAAGCTGTATGAAGCCCTGTTCATTAACAAGCATACCTGATGTGTTCAGGCTGCAGCTCATCAAAAAGGCAGGTATTTCAAAATGCTGTCCATTTCCCGCCATTTTAAATGGAACCCTAAATATTTACCCTAGTCAGTGGTGTTTAAAAAGTGTTTTCATCACATAGAAAACTATATGTAAGCTAACAGTAGATTTTTAAAACTGTACGGAGCTCCCTGGCTGCAGAAGGAATGACTGCCGATGATCTTACATTCCAGCCCTAAGGAGGTCTAGTGTAGGGCCAGTGGTTTTCAAATTGATGTAGAGCAAAAGCTCCACAGGATCTAGGGCTGGCCCCACCATATGCATGTTAGCATCATTTGAGCTGCTTTCTATGTAGGTGTTTACAGACGTAAAGTTCAAGCAGTAGAAACTGCATTCATCTGACTGATAGAAAAAGTTAAATGTAGTTCAATACAAATCATTAACAGTTTGGATTGGTCCCCTTTATATTCTGTAACAAGCTAGTTTTGTGGCCGGGTCTCCTCCTCCCTCTCACCCAGATCCCTGGGATGAGGACTAGCCAGCAGTCTTCTGCAGTTATCAACAACTAGTATGTTACTCAGTATCTAGGCTGCTCTTTGGATAAGGCAGAGAAATGAGGTTTGTAATGGAGAAGCAACTGCATAATTCTGTGTTCAAAGCACCAATTGTCCAGTACTGCAGAAGTGCTTGGAACTGTTCCTTCCTATACATATGCCTAGGTCTCTGGTTCGGCATCAACAGTTTTTCCATCACCTTGAGTTCTTTTCAGACTCTCAAAATCACAGGGTTGCCTGTTCAAATTGTAAAGCAAAAAAGCCCATGTAGCTAAGGTCTGTTTTCTTTGATCCTAAGTAAGCTCAAGAGTTTCTCATAGTCTGACTGCAGGAGATGACAGTAAGGAGCCCAAGGCTTTCCTTAAGGGGGAAAGAGTGGTGGTCTCTTTTCATTCAGCATCTAAGTTGGAGCTGTAGATAATGACCTAGAGGTTTTTTTCTGAAGTCATTTGGAGACTTTGAAGAAGACCTATCAGGGAAGTATAAATGTTAATGAGCATTTGAAGCACCTAACTAAACTTATGTGATGGTTTTCTTTATGAAGCAATTCTACTCTAGCATGCAATAATTCAAATCAGTCACATGATCAGAACATGATTCCTTAAGCTGAAGGATTCACTTGGGAAGGTGAGACAGAGGCTGCCTGCTGCAGCTACACAAAACAGCTGGAGGTGAAGTCTGAACTGGTAGGCAATATTTAGCATCTTGCCAGCTGTCACGACCACTGAGGGCTCTTGGTCTGACTCTGGACAGCCTGTTAACTCTGCAGGTTTGTTAGTTCTTAAGCTGTTCTTGTCTAGGAATCACACAGTTACAAGCTGTTGTCATTGCTGCATTTTTCTGTGCAGAAAATAAATGCTTATTGGCTTTGCACGTGGTTAGAAAACTTAAATAGCAAATGAGACGTTGTCTTGCTATATATTTGCAGGGGCAGAAACCGCTTTAATGAAGAAAATACAGGAATTTGCTGCATGATGTAAAACATGACGGGAAGTTGTCTTGCTAAACTGCTGCTGTTGTGTCCTGAGATATCTGGTGGATGTTAGAGGTAGTGTAAAGGCTGCAGTACTGACAGCTCCCTTGAAAAGACAAACTTGGAGGGAAGCTGTTGATCTACACTTAGTTAATTTTTATTTGCACATTTGTTTATGTGAAATTAATCAGATCTCAGTCCTCTGAATTTCTCATTGAGTATTGTTTTAAATGACTTGCTGCATCTGGTGGTTCACCAAGCAGTTCAGAAGAAAAACATCCCCTGTATTCTCTAGACATATCAAGGATGAGGTGGTCATTAAGAGGAGCCAACACACAGCCTTCTATGAGCAAGTAACTAGGTGGATGGATGATGGTAGAGTGGTAGATGTGGTTTTTCTTGATTTCAGTAAGGCATTTGATACTGTCTCCCACAGCATCCTCATAGGTAAGCTAGGGAAGTGTGGGCTTGATGATCAGGTAGTGAGGTGGATCAAGAGCTGGTTGTAAGGAAGAAGGCAGAGAGTTGTGGTCAATGGGGCAGAATCTAGCTGGAGGTCTGTGACTAGTGGAGTCCCTCAGGGGTCGGTGCAGGGACCAGTGCTGTTTAATATTTTCATCAACGACCTGGATGAGGGAACTGAGTGTACCCTCAGCAAGTTTGCTGATGACACACCAGAGGGCTGTGTTGCCATTCAGCGAGACCTGGACAGGCTGGAGAGTTGAGTGGGGAGGAACTTGATGAAATTCAACAAGGGCAAGTGTAGAGTCTTGCATCTGGGGAAGAACAACCCCATGTACCAGTACAGGTTGGGGGCTGACCTGCTGGGCAGTAGCGAAGGGGAAAGGGACCTGGGGGTCCTGGTGGACAGGAGGATGACCATGAGCCAGCAATGTGCCCTTGTGGCCAAGAAGGCCAATGGCATCCTAGGGTGCATTAGAAAGGGTGTGGGTAGTAGGTCAAGAGAGGTTCTCCTCCCCCTCTACTCTGCCTTGGTGAGGCTGCATCTGGAATATTGTGTCCAGTTCTGGGCCCCACAGTTCAAGAAGGACAGGGAACTGCTTGAAAGAGTCCAGCGCAGGGCTACAAAGATGATTAAGGGAATGGAACATCTCTCTTACGAGGAGAGGCTGAGGGAGCTGGGACTCTTTAGCTTGGAGAAGAGGAGACTGAGGGGTGACCTCATCAATGTTTACAAATATGTAAAGGGTGAGTGTCAGGATGATGGAGCTAGGTTTTTTTCAGTGATGTCCAGTGACAGGACAAGGGGCAGTGGGTGTAAACTGGAGCATAGGAGATTCCATGTGAACATCAGGAAAAATTTCTTTACTGTGAGAGTGACAGATCACTGGAACAGGTTGCCCAGGGGGGTTGTGGAGTCTCCTATGTTGGAGATATTCAAGGCCCGCCTGGATAAGTTCCTGTGTGATGTACTCTAGGTTACCCTGCTCTTGCAGGAGGGTTGGACTAGATGATCTTTTGAGGTCCCTTCCAACCCTTAGGATTCTGTGATTCTGACTCCTGTAGGCAGTAAATGCTGTTTCGATACCATCTGAAGAAATAACCCAAAGCAAAAAGTGTTAGCCTTGAATTTGACCAGTCATTTCATTTACTGTCCCTGAAGGTGTTTACTGCAAGGGATTATTAAAGGTTAAGATCCTTATGAATATTTAGCTCCTTCTATGGAGGAGATGCACACTTCAAGTTTTGAAAACCTTGCTTCTTGGAGATTAATATTATTCACTGCTTCAACTTTTCATTCCAGTAGATGGATTTGAGCTATGGAGACAGTTTAGACTTAATGTGTTACAATTGTAATTTCTTTTAACCTGACCCCCTTGTCTTATATGTAAGAATTATTCTGAAAGGATATATCGCTGGGTGAGTTTTCTTACTTCATTGGTTGCATAGTTCTGGAATGTCACAAGGTTTTCACATTTGCACTGGTCTTTATCTTTAGAAGCTTTTGCTGAAAAACAGAAACAGTCAAGCACAGGCTAAATGCTGAATAAATCAAATGGGATGGGGGAGGAAATGACAAGGATTTATAAATGCAGAGCAGGTTTAATAGAGCTCCCTGTTCTCAAAACTTGTCAACTTCCAAAGGAATGCTTTGGGGCAGATCTTTTAAATACTGGGAAATAGTACCCAACGCTTGGGCCTACATATTTAAAGAGCAGTCTGGGTTATACTAAACAAAGATAACTTGATTACCTGTTGTTCTCGTTGAGTGAGTGTGACTGTCTTCAAAAAGATACTTGTGGTGTATTGCAAGATCAGGACAGGCAATGACATCTGTGATGGCTATTGTGGTTGATTCAGGTCCTGCAGGAACCCCCCCCAAAAGTCTAAAAATCAAACCCACTTAATTACACAGTATTTTTCTTCTACTCAAATGCACCAACTTCTTAACTAGTCATTAATCTCACTGATTGCAATGAGGCTCATTCATTTAGAGGACAAGGGATATAAAGAAGTAAAGGAACTGAGCTGTTAGGCTGTATTTACTGTGTACATGATTTAAGTTGTGAAGGTTCCTGTAAGAAACAGAAGTGATTTAGAAGCTGAACATGCTCTAAAATACCAAGCAGTGTGTTGAAATACAAGTTTCCCCATGAAATAATACATTTGGATGGTGTAAAAAGCATGCAGCCATGCATTTGTTACAGTGAATCTCCAGTATTTTGCAGAAAGTAGATTTGAGTTGCAGAAAGGAGGGTGCCTTGGAGGGGGGTAGGAAGGGAAATGGGGTAAACAGTTCACAGGTGAATTGTTAGGGTTCTGTACAGAAGGCAGTGTGAAGAGGGAACTTAGCAATGACTGGGGAGACATCAGGATGCTGGGGTAAAGCAGCCAACCTGAACGCTGTGGACCAGTCTTACGAATCCTCCCATATGATGGATCCTGCTGGTGAGCTGACTCTTTCAAGGCTGGTAGACAAGAAATTGCCGAAGGAAAGGAGATCACAAAAGGAGCAATGAAAATACATTCCCTAGAAATGATGTTTCATACCAATAACTTGCTGTTTTGTCTTTCATAACATATGGAGAATTCCTCATATCTCTGCAGTTCAGAAGAGGCCCAGTGTTCATGGAAACTCCAGGACTCACCCTTCAACTCAGGCTATCAGAAGAACTCTTCCAAACCAGAAGTGCTTAAGATTAATAGTAGTGAAGCAATCTGAAATGACAGCAACCTACTTTGTGTCCTTTAGTGAAAATTCTTGTATCTTAATCATTGTCACCCATGAGTCCCTTGGAGTGAACTGAACAAGAATTAAAAACTGCTTGGAGAAAGAAGAAATTTCTTACTCTCCTTCAATTTTCTCCTTTATAATGGGAAACATTGATCAGGGTGTTGGGAGTGCTTAGGTGAGAAGGATGGAGTAGAGTTTATTTTATACACTATAGTTATTATAAAGTTTCTAATTCATGAAGCACAACCTTTAAAATGTAGGAATTTATTTCAGACTCTACATAGCAATCTTAGTTGATAGGTGTGTGGAGAGAAATGGAAACCTATTTTATATGTAGGAGTAACCACCTTGAGTCTGTCTGAGCATTACTCCCTTGTTAGAAGAGGATAATGCAGAGGCAGCTTTTGTTCCTTCAGAATGAGCTCATGCTTCAACTTTGGTTAACTGCGGAGTGCTTAATGGTTCAGGTGAGCTGATGAGCATACATTTAACAACTGCAAGTCTTGATCAGCTATGGCAGGGGAGTGGATGGAGCATCTGGGACTCCTTCCTTGGTGAATATACCAAGAGCTGCTACACTAAAAGTGAATGTTTGTGCGTAAAGGTGATGGTGCAAGCTTTCCTGGCCCACCATGAAGGTGCACTAGGGAGGTGGAAGATGCTCTTGGCCTCACAGGTTTGTTACAGCTATTGGGGTCCCTGTTGGTTTAATGAATTTTGACAGATGTGCAACAATACGCAGCTGTCCTAAGCTGCACTGAGAAGATGAGACCCTCTTGGGGTGGAGCTGAAATGACAGTGTGAGGAAGAGGGAGTGAACAGAGATGAGTTGTTAAGAAAACTACAGTACAGTACAACATTATCAAAATTCTGCATGGCAACCAGCTGATAGAAGCAATACAGATTTTTGAGAAAGTTCTGGGCAGAGGGGTGTGGGGTGAGATCACAGCGTAAGGAATGAGACAAACTGGGTGAGGAGTCCAGCAGAATAATCAGCTAGGAACAAGGATGGTGAGGCTTCCAATGTAGGAGGGAAGAAATGGGTAAGGAACCTCGAGTATGTGACCCTGGGTAATGACTTCCGCTACAGCTCATTTAAGAGCTGTGGGTGGATTAGGAAGCTGTATAGGAAGGACAGAAGAACAGACCTGAAAAGCTTGAGCTTTGGGTATTGGGCTGGTACAGACAAGTAATTAGGATTCATATGTAATGACAGGAAAGAAAACTGGTAGATACACTGGCAAGTATGGAAGTATGGCAGAAGGTCTCCAGTTTGGGAACCAGGCATTTCAGAAACAACTCTTCAGGCTTGGGGCCCTAAGATGTCTGATCTCGTCACCTCTGTAAAGTCAGACAAGTAGTGACAGAGGCTGCTAACCCTAACCAAATCCCTTGGTGAAGTCAGGGCAGTGAACATAAATAGTCAAATTTGTTGGGGAACAATGCTAAAGTTGGGTGTTTGGTTTTAGTGTTCGGTTTTGTAACAAAACCTAAGTATTTTGTTTAAAAAAAGCCTGTGAGAAAGTGTCTTCAAAAAAGCGTGTCTTCAAAAGCAGTGGCTATTCGCAGCACTGGTAACGATCTCAATTTGGAAGGAGAACAGAATGTTAACCAGCAGGCTGCTGAGTACTGTCATCTGAGCAGTGCTGGGATCTTTTGACAAAAATAGTATGTGCTCATGTAATTAAAGGTTTCCGTAATGCACATGCTCAGAACAGGGGTGAAGAGGCAATCATGAGGAGTGTGTATTATGTATGACACTGCTGTAGCCTTGTTAGTGCTTCCAGTCAGACGAGAAATGAACATCAACCAAGGCAATGAATGGGAATCTTCCAGCTGAATTCCTCTTTAATAAGAGGCAAAAGAGAAAACTACTTGTTTTTACTACAAGTCATCAAGAATAATTAATAGTAATCAGCAGCCATTCTACAAGGCTGATGCTTTCTAGCAGAAGAAAAACCCTTACCCCAAAAGAGAGTTGGAGAGCTTCTGCTTTACTTGGTAACATGCAGCCCATCCACAACTGGGACTGGGGATGAGAGGCTTTGTCATTGGAGGCCATGATGTTCAGAGGGTCTTCCCTCACATTCTGGAGCCTCAGAAGTCCTCAGCTAAGGACCAAGGCTGTACTGAAAATTAAATTACTGCTGTTGCAAAGGAAGGAAAACAGTAAACCAGAACAGAGAGGGAAAAAGAACTTTCAACTTGTGTAACAGCCTTGGGAGGCAGAATTTCAGCTGGAGCGAGTTGTGAGCAGTGATGGCTAGTCCTGAGTGTTCAAAAAAACAAGGCTGGGTCAGCCCTCGGTTCACAGGTGTGAGTGATTGCCTGGTGGTGAAAGACGAGGACAGAAACAGCCACCAGCTCTGCCCAGTTCTTAGCGGTGTAGTCTAGAAACTGCCACAGAGGGGCAGGATTTACTTATTTTTCATACGGCAAGTAATGTAGTTGAAAAAAGAAAGCCTGGCTGCTGAACACCACTGTGGGTACCTGAAGGATGCATTTCCATCACCGAGCTCTGGGGGTTGCTAATGAGGGAGAATTATTGTCTGGCAACCAGTACAGCTTTGATGTCTCCCCAGGCTTTAAGATGACAAGCTGTCATCAGCAGATTACCTGCCTAATAAGAAAGTTAATTGAACAGGCTTGGTTTCATGTTGCCACAGTTGTATTTCAGCAAGATGGAACCAGGACGTCTTAGGATTGAAACACAAGGAATACACAAGCTAAGAAACATTCTTGGATTTTTTTTTTTTCCCAGAATTTTCCTTGACATCTGTATGAAGAAGAAGTGCACTGCTGCTTGCCAGGCAGTTTTACACAGCAGCATTAAAGAAGAAAATAAAACCTGTTTGCATTTAATTCCAAGAAAAGCAACCAAATATAAGCTAGTGCAAATGAAATCATCTTGCACAATTCTGATGACAGGACTACTGTTATTCACACAATGACACTTCTGAATTTTGCTTCAGGTACCAATTTGAATGTACAAGTAATACCAACTGCTGGGAATGTGTGAGTGGGAGAGACATGCTGTCCTCTGTCTGGTTGAACAGCTTTCATCCCAGCTCACATTTCCCCTTCCCCTTACAAAACTTCAGCTGCATATGTTTATATAGAGGCTGTTTGTGCCAGAGTGAGGAAGGGTGCAAACCTTCCATGTTTATGGAGCAAAACTTGAAGCTTATGCAGCACAGATCCACTCTTTGTGGCTGTGAATGCATGTTCAATGAACTATTTTTAGTCTTCTATAAATATGCACAACAGCTCCTGATTGTTTTGCTGTGGTTTAGATTTTTGCCACTGGTCTTAAGAGTAATTTTTTCATTCTCATTAAGACATTACAAATTCCTGATTATTCTCCCACATTCCTAATGGAGTAGATAATGTTTCTTTGGCAGGGTGGGGTTCAGTGCATGGCTGACTTAACTGTAGAAAAAGAAAGGGGAAGGAGCAATTGATTTTTCTGGGTACAGAAGTGTGCATTTTATGCAAACTTTATGAAAATAAAGACAATTATTATATACCTTTACCTGGTGATAGATTATTCCTCACATATTAAAGGGCAGAAAAGTTACCGTGACTTAGTCCTTGCAATGCTGACACTAATGATTTATGACCTGTACTATGATACTTGTTGTCCTTTTAGGCCACCAAAAGCTCTATAAGCATTCCTTCTTCTGCTAACTAACGAAAGTGGAATACTCTTACCTTCACAGATTCGGGCTCTTAGCTCTTCACTGATGTCCTCCATAGCTGTGAAATCCTCAGCATAAAAGAGATGTTTGTACGGTGGCTCAGAAGCAATTTCCAGCAATTCTTCCTCAATTGCTTGTCCTATTCCAACGGCATAGATAATTATACCTAGATTCAACAGAAATGGCACAAAACTGTTACTTCAGCAGTTTTAAACCCTTGTTTCTCTGCAAAAGGAAAGGAAAATACAAGCATTAGTTGTTTTAGAGAAAAAGGGAGAGTGTAAGTGAATATGCTGTGTAACTTACTTCAACATTGGTTTTGAACATGTTCAATGTGCTTTAGTTATTGGGATGTATAGAAACTCAGTGCTCTGCTAGAATTTAACAGTTTTTAAGTAAAAGACATTACTCTTGCTTGGCCACTACTGACAGTAAACGAACCCAGGAGAAGTACTGCAAAACATCCAGAAGTTGGAAGTTCTTCACTGTAAGGGTGATGAGGCACTGGAATGGGTTGGCCAAGGACAGTGTGAACGTTCCATCCCTGGTGGTGTTCAAGGCCACGCTGGATGGAGCCTTGGGTGACATGGTTTAGTGTGAGGTGTCCCTGCCCATGGCAGAGGGGTTGGAACTTGATGATCTTAAGGTCCCTTCCAACCCTAACTATTCTATGATTCTAATCGCACAAATCACTCTCACAGTTGCACTGCAAGTACTTGGTTTGTGTGTGTCTGTGTAGGGTATGTGCAATAAAGGTAATTACTGGATTGATGGGAAAACCTGCTCTATATTAGCAAATGGGGCAGAATCCTTCAAGACTGCAGTAAATTTTTATTTTAGAAAAATGCAAATACTTAGTGTTCATTGAAATCCCCGGAACACTGAAACAAGATTCTTGCGCTCTAAAGGACACTAGGGGGCTGGGAGGCAGTTAAAATGCACCCGGACCTACAGGGGGAAGAACAGGGGAAAAGAAATGGTTTGGGGAGTTAGGAGAGAAAAAGCCTTACAACGGGGGTGCTTGGGACAAGCAGAGGTGCTAGGGAAAAAGAAAATGAGGATTTGTAGTTTCCCTCATTTTGAAAGCAGGGAAGGAGGGAAGTGGTTCACAGCCTTCTCATTGGACAGATTTTAAACAAGCAATGAATACAAAACATGGTGATCTTTAATAACACTTTTTCCAGCAGTTATTTTTTTATTCTCATGAATATGTGATCTGTTACAACATTTTTTGTATCAGTTCTGGCTTAGAAAATGTCTCCAGCTAGTAGTGATTTTGCTATTCGTAATACAACTGTTTGCTTCAGAGTATTTCAAGCTCTTTTATATATTCAAGAGCAGAAGCTGCCTTTTCCCCTGGTTGGTGATGAGATTTGATATTTCTGTTATCATAGGGTAGTAACAGGTACACACTCACTGAATTGCAAGTTTAGCCTTTTTGTTGAAGAACCATGGGGCTGATAACATCATAAAATAGATATTTCCCAACTGTTTAACGTTTAACATAAGCATCTTACTTTTTGTCATGAATCTGCCTACCCTTCACTTTAGCCAGGAAAGTAAAACATTTGCCAGAAGCTGATTCAATTTAATGAATGGGCCAGTCGTGCTGAGGTTTGTTGCTTTTTTAAAGTCTTGGAGATATCAGTGATAAAGCATTCAAGGCCAATTTCATATTCAGCATTACTACATTGCCTACACTGCAATTACACAGGGGATACATTTGGCTTGTAGCAAATATTACAAATATGAGTGTAAGCTGTCTGGAGCTGATGTTTCATTCATGGCTTGCATAAGCAAGGTTGGCCTGTATTTCTTTTTCCCAGTCCTGTAAATCCTCAGTGTACTTTCCCCAGCTCTCACAAGTTAGTGTAGAACTAACGTTTGGTTTTAATATTTATTATTTAACTGCGTTTGGTTTTAATATTTTAAGAAACACTTTGTATTTCATTGTAATAACACCATCGTTAGTACATGCTCCTCTCATATCCTTCGACATTTTTCCCTTTTCTCCTTTCAGAGAGGTATCAGTCCTGACCAATGCTATACTAATCATGTATCGAGTTAAGATTGATATATCAAGCCAATAAAACAAGAACAGAAAAAAAGATGTGCAGCATCTTCTAAAGTCTGGCTATTCTCTGTGTGCTATGGGCCATCAGCCCTTATTCTTAAAGAAGTTTCTCATAAAATAGAAAATGGTTTGCAAAGGAAAAAGGGATTCTTTTTTTTCTTGAAAAGGTTTGAAAATTTCGAGTTGACTCCACCATATATGGATATGTTCGGAACACTGCATGCCATGCCAGGTGGGTAGTAGCACCAACTGTGTATGGCATGTAACTCATCATGGGTCCCACACTAAGGATGACATACGTGCCTTGTAGCAAAGGCTCTTGTGAACACTAAAGATCCAATGTTCTGCTACAGTGGTCACCACATTAGCCAGCCTGCTGTGGCAAACACTCTCTGTATTAGCACATGCTGGAGCGCATCCATAATATACTACATCTTATTTCTAACATTGTTTGTCTTTTAGAAGGAATCAAAACCATCTGCCCTTACCATTTTGTTTTGCTCTAGCAGCCCACTCGGAGACTTCATCTTGGGCTCGTCCATCCGTAAACACAATGGAGATTCGAGGGACATGTGCTGAAAATGGTCTTGCTCCTTCCGTTTCTGTGAAGCTTCTCTCAAACATGTGCTTCAGAGCCAGTCCTGTCATGGAACCTCGCCCCATATATTTCATTTGTGACACAGCTTTCTTCATGTCTTTGGCTGAGCTGAATTGCCTTAATGTAAACTCTGTGCGAACTTCACTGGAATACTGAAGCAAACCAACTCGAGCAGCTTTGGGTGAAATCTCAAGTGTATCCAGGACTCCCAAGACAAATTGTTTTACAATTTCAAAATTATCCTCTCCGAGACTTTTTGATCCATCAATCACAAACATCAGGTCCAATGGTCCTTCAGTGCATCCTGTGAAATAAGCAGCAGAGTGTTCAGATGATGACAGATCTCCACAAAGCTGAAAAAGGGATCCAGTTACACATAAACTCAGAGATCATCAGAGTATCTTGTTCCTGGCTCATCCATCTTTGCCAGTGTGTCTAAAGATGTTGTGTATAGTCTTTATTGAAAACTAAGAGTGCACCCATGACCAACAGTTTAACAAAAATACCATGACAATGAATACTTACTGAGACATACTGCTTTGCAGAATACTACAACTAGATGTAATAATCAGCAAATTAAGAATGACTTAAGTGGAGAGAACTGTATAACTGAAGTATATAGCTAGGATATAGAGACAGAGTTACCATCATTTTCTTCCAGATATAGGCCTGGAATTATGTATACTGTAAAGTACTGTATGCAGTATAGTGTGTGTATATATATACTATATATACTGTATACTGTAAAGTATGCTAACTTTGCATTTGTGTAAATGACCAGTACTGAAAGACATGGAAGAGAATTACTGAGCTGCATTTGTGTTGCAGAAGTAGCACAAAGGTAAAGATGGTACAAGCAAATGAGTCGGTGAAGCCACACTTGTATATAAGTTAAAAATCTAGGCATCATATTTAGAACAGCAGGGAACAGTGAGTCAAAAGCCAAAGAGCTTGGGGAAGACTGAGCAAGAAGAGAAGGGTTAGGCAGCTGCCCTAGAGCTTAGGATGAGGTTCAAGTCTGGGGACAAAAGGCAGACAATGCACATGTTTTTATAGCACAAACTTAAATCTCTAGTGTCAGAAAAATAACTAAAAAACTAGGTAAGAGTAAATTCTAGAAATGTCCCTAGCTGCCAAACATGGATCAGAATTGTTTATATGAGCTTTTTGCTTATAACTTTCTAACAATCTTGTTACTGGGAGGCTTATGTCTTGCTGAAATGAAACCTTTCTGGTTTACCCATTAAAGCTGGGAGTTTGTCAGGAGACTGACAAAGCTGGAGTTCTCATACTTTTTGGCAAGTGCACACACAAAAATCAAAGCAGTTTGTAGGCACTGTGCATCTGTGACAAAGTTAGGGAATTCAGGGAATGGAAAATGTCTTTAAAGCTGCAGACTCCTTCTGTCAGGTGTTCTGCATTTTGGAAAGCAATTGCCTCCAGCAGGCATAGACTAGTAGGCTTGTGCTACAGAAATGCTGAGCTTCTGTTTTGATCAGTGTAACTTCCAGGGAGAATTTGCCATACTAAAGAATGCAACATTTGCATCTTAGTCTGGACCAAAGAAACTTTGACCGCCACTCATCTCTGATGTTTGTATAGTAAGAATACTGTAAGCACTGTACAAGAGAGAATTGTGCAGTAAAAATTACTTTGACTGCAGAAATTACTGAAGACGTCTGTTAGCAAGACAGTGTAGGAATAAGGAATTTTCAGCTTTAAAGCTTGTCCTTTTCATCTTGGACAATAGCTCTCTTTTAAAACTGTTGTCCAAGAATTCTTTTCTGCAGTCATCTAAGGATGACTAAGCTTAGTAAAGTGATAGAAATGCAACGAATATGAGTGTCAGAGCCACCTCAGTATCACTGCAGAAGTCAAGATAGGGCAACAGTTCGTGGTGAATGTTTACTTAGGACTGAGATCAGCCATGAACACGTTACCATTCTTTTGGTAATAAGTGTCCTCAGCTAAGGCATCCAATTTTGAGTATAAATGTTTTTATTGTGTTTCAGTAGAAGAATTTTTGTCCAAGTATTAAGAGGCATTGAGATAAATGTATGTCACACTCTAAGCATGTCATGTTGGAAAAGAAGTAAATAGAAGTAATAATTAATTTATTATAGATAATTTATTATAGATAATTTAAGATAGAGTATATAAAGGTAAAAGCAACACAGTGTATGAATCTGATTAAAGTGTACATTCCTTGATAACAAGATTTCACTTCGCCTTTTTTTCTTCGTGTTTGAAAATTATTATTATCATACTTGATGTTATACCAAAACAACTATTCCAATTTGATAGTTTTTTGATTACAAGAGAATCAAGTTAATTATTCAAGACATTTTCCATCACACTCACATATGTTTTGGGCTTTGAAATATCGTAGCATGTTTGAAGTAAGGCATTTTTTGAAGTGAGGTTGAGTAGTTTAGAAATCAAAGAAACAAATGCTTTCTAAATAAAATGTACTTACTTCTACATGTTTTCTGATCCTCTTTTAATACATATCCCTCCTGGCATTTGCAGATGTATGAATCATCATTATTAACACAAATATGTTCACAACCATGGGCAACTGATTTGCAGACATCTTTCTCTGTAAATTGAAATATTTATATGTGTTGTATTTAACATATGTATAAATTCAAAGACTCCAAACATGATACTGGAATAATGTATGACAAAGGAGTATAACATCTTTGTTTGTTTATGTAGTGATGCCAGAGAAGGGTGGCTGACAAACATATTGAGTTACTTACTTCGACATGTTTTCCCGTCTTGTCGCAGGACAAAACCCTCATGGCACTGACAGCTGTATGAATTGTTATTATTAACGCACACATGTTCACAGCCATGGTCAATGGATTTACACAGGTCTTTATCTGAGAATTGTTAAGAGAATTTCCTTATTAGACCATTTCTCAAATGCAAAACTGGCATGAACAAGCTTTGAGTGCAACTAAGTCTGTTATTTCTTTTATGACTGAAAAACATATTTCCATAAAGGTTTCAGCTACTCACTCCTGCATGTTTTCCTGTCTTGCCTCAATATAAAGCCCTTGTGACACTGACACGTGTATGAATCACCAGTTGGAACACAGACATGTTCACAACCATGGTTGACTGCTTTGCAGATATTTTTACCTTGGAATAATGAAAATAATATTTAGCACTGTTGTCTATGTCAATAACTTTCACAAAGTGTAAAAATTATTGCAATAATCTTCTATGAAGGAGCTCCCTTCCAAGAAGTTGATTCTATGTTAAAGACACAAATTGCACAGTGTGTTTCATTAGCAGATTAGGAAGTATAAAACAAAGATTAAACAACTTACTCCTACAAGTTTTCCCATCTTCCCTCAGTATGAAGTCCTCATGGCACTTGCAGATATAGGAATCATTAGTATTAACACAAATATGTTCACAGCCATGGTCAACTGAGTTGCAAACATCTTGATCTGAGGAGAGTGGATGGAGTTTGTGAGGTGAAGCTTGTTAGGGAAAGGTAGCATCTCTTACTAACCTGCTCAAACAGTTGGAATTCACCAACATACGTGTGTGCAAACACTGACAGCCACAAGACTTAAAAGCCTGAAATAAAAATACACTTTTATAGATCAGGCTACTCACATCTACATGTCTTTCCATCTTCCCTCAGTATGAATTTTTCATGACATTTGCAGACATAGGAATCTTCAGTATTCACACAAAGTTGTTCACAGCCATGGTTGACTGAATTGCAAACATCCTTGTCTGCAAATGGAAGAGTTGGTAGTCAGCATGCATCAGCAGAGGCCTTGATTCTATGTTTTCAAATTAATCAAATTTATCAAATTAAGTTCTCATGCTACTTACCTCTGCAGGTTTTCCCATCTTCTCTCAGTAGGAACCCATCATGGCATTTGCAGATATATGACTCATCAGTATTAACACAAAGATGTTCACAGCCATGGTTGACTGATCTGCAAACATCTTTATCTGAAAACAGATGACAGCTCTTGCTGGTTAATGCGTTTCTACACAAACATGAGCTGCAGATACAAAGTATGCTGATAAATATCAGACTACTTACTTTTGCATGTTTTTCCATCTTCTCTTAGCAGGAATCCCTCCTGACACTTACAAACAAATGATTCACCAGCATTAACACAAACATGTTCACAGCCATGGTTGACTGATTTGCAAATATCCTTGCCTGGTAATAATTAGATAATATTTAATGTGGTTTGGTAGTTAAACTTTTTTTATAAATACAAGACTGTGGGGGTAATCCCATGAGAAAAGAAAGTTGGAAGTTTGCAAACTGAAAGCGAATCTCCGGCTAGTCAAATGATAGACAGCTTAGCTTACACGGAGCATGAGTTCTTTACCATCTGAGCAGAAAGAATTGCATGGTTTGGATGGCCTCCCACTGTCAATAAGTCATTTTAGGATTAATCTGACTACACTAAGGAGGAAGACTTTATATTAAGAGCAGTCAGAGTGAAAGGAAGGAATAATTTAGTATAGTCATTCAGCACAAATTCATGCTTGTAAAAATAAAACTAAGCAAAACAGCACAAACACAAAGCAAAATAATTCTTTAACATCCTTACATCAGTGCCAAGAGTCTGCATAAACAAACTGCAGAAGAATAGGAACTACTCATTTAAGAGGATAAATAGCCCGACTGGTGTTGCTGAAAATTGATGGGAGGATTTGTCTGACTGCAATGCTAAAACCAGTTGGTTAAAACCTCTTCAAGGACAGATAGCGAGAAAGTAGAGAAGGAAACAGAGCCATCTATCAGCATTCATTATTTCTTTTTCACTGCTACACTAAGGAAAATACTCTCAATTGCTAATGGAGAACTACCTTTACATAAAAAGTAGAACAGTACTGACAGCCAAGTTCAGACTGAGCCTTCTGCAAAATACTTAATGTGTGGGGAAGAAAAATTTGTATTTTTACAAGAACTTCAACCTCAGCAAAGTTACCTGGAGGTCTCATGATGCCAGTACAAAAGTTCCAAAGACCACTAAAGAGGGCAATCTTCTAACTCAACAAGCATTACATTTAAGACATGGCAATGTAAACTGGATCCCATTATAGCACACAAAAAAGAAATTATTATGTAAGTAAAAATTAGCATCTGCTTATACACAGCTGTGTGCAACTCAGACCCACTTGCTGTTTATAAACAGTATCAAATATAAGCCAGCACCAGACATGGCTATACTTCAAAAGGATGAATTTTATATAACTGAAGGCAAATTTGAACCTCAGTATTTTGGCATGTGGGGAATAATAATAAAAAAAATAAATAAAAGAAGTGAATGATTGCACTATTTAAGGTTATTTTACTAGATACCCTTCAAAAATTTAATCCTATAATCTAAAAAGAATGCCAAAGTAGTTAGAAAAGCAACCTCATTTGGAAATTGAAACTGAAATCTGCTGTAATATTTGAATAATGATTGAAAGAAAGGCACGCTCAAAGCATTTACTGAACATGACAACATCAGGAATTTGAAAATACTGAAAGAAGATAGAGGTCAAGGGTGTGCATGGCCAACTAAATAAGGATAGTACGAGTAAGATATTTAACGACAATTAGGAGCAAAAAGCATTTTAATAATGTTTTTTGATAGAAATGGTAGAATTGCTATTCTTTACAGATCCTAAAAATATATAGTGCATTCAGTTCTGAATTTATATTTCATAAGCCACTGATGATATTGTTGGAGTGAACGGTTTCCTTAGCTGAGAAGTAGGTCACCCAGCACCTACTGAACACGCACATTTTCAAACCAGATAACTTGCAGTGAAGAGTTGTAGAAGAGCTGGCTGAAAAACACCTCGGATGCTTAGCGTTAGTTTTCAGTAGCTCCTGGAACTCCAAGGAAGCAGAATATTTTAGTCAGTCACAGACCGACTGCTATCTTTAGCAGTAGAAGAGAATAGGTTTAAAAAAAAGGATAAAATAAAGGATTAATTCAAAAAGGATTAAAAAAGGTAGATTAAAAAAAACGCATAAAAGATAAAAAAAGATAGGTAGATTCAAATAACAATTAGATGGATTATAATTCCTCTACCTTGGACCCTGCTGTGTCTCCTTCTAGAAAACTGTACCACTCTGGTGTCCCTTCAAGGATGCTGATAAATAGCAGACGTTTTAGGGGAGCCAGAAGAGACTTATAAAAAGATTAGAAAACATACAAAGAGCCTGAAGGAGTTTCACCTGCTTATTCTTTACAAAAGAATATGCTAAGAGGTTAAGGTCATGATCTGCAGGATCAGGTTAAGTCATGATCTGCAGGAACACACACAGAGCAACTCAGTGGCAATTACAACTTCAACCCATCAATGTAAAATGCAGCAAGATCCTATGCTCAAGATTGAAACTCAATACACTCAATCTAGAAATAGAGTTAACATTTTAAAAGCTACATTCAAGCATTAAAATTTGATAATTTTCTGAAGTATGTCTTTGGTTCAAACAGTCGTTAATTCACAGAAGTCTTACGATCTACAGAAAACAATATTCCATTCTGACTATTATGAATCAGTGAATAATGTCCTAATAACAGGAAAACAAAATTTATTTTTTTATTCATAAGATACTTACTTCGGCATGTTTTCCCATCTTGCCTCAGTACAAATCCATCATGGCACTGGCAAGTGTATGAATCCTCATTATTCACACAAAGGTGTTCACAGCCATGACTGACTGATTTGCAGATGTCCTTATCTAGGAATAATTTAGATTTTATTTACTACAGTTTGATGAATGAGAAAATTTCCAATACTTTAAAGATTAAAAGTAATAGGCTCCTAGTAAATAAATAAAGTACCCTCCTTTTTTGTCGGGCAAAATCCTCTATAAGGAGACCTACCTCTAACACAATATGCTTCTTGAGTAGACCTCTGACTGCAAAAAATAGAGTATCATAAAATATCTTACGTCTACATGTTTTCTTATCTTCTCTCAGTATAAAACCTTCATAGCACTGGCAAATGTATGAACTATCAGTATTCACGCAAACATGCTCACAGCCATGGTCAACGGAATTGCAAACATCTCTATCTGGAAAAAATTACAAGGTTACCAGCATTTAAAACATGTCTATGAATACAAAGATTAAAAAGGAAATATTCTATTAAAGATAAGGATACTTACTTCTACATGTTTTTCCATCTTCCCTTAGTGCAAATCCCTCATAACACTGGCAGATGTATGACTCATCAGCATTAACACAAACATGTTCACAGCCATGGTCAACTGAACTGCAAATGTCTTTATCTGAGAACAGTTGATGATACTTGGTTAAAGCACATCTACAGCTAATGCATCATGCAGGGAGAAGTAATAGCTTTTATTAGGTCTACTGATACCACTGGAAGAAATGGGCAAAATTTTAGGCAGCAAACACTTACAACTCTTGGTATTTGAGTCTTTTTTGTCTCCTCATCATTTTGGCTATTAAAATATACTATTTTTGTCCACAGAGTCTCTCACAAGCTCCTGGTAGGTATACCAATACTACTCTATATTGTAACAGTCAACTGTTGTTGTATTTGTTAGAACACTTCCACAAATCTCCATACTGTAGATAAAAGTTTATGAATAATTATCAGAGTACTTACGTCTGCATGTTTTCCCATCTTCTCTCAGCAGAAAACCCTCATGACACTTGCAAATATATGAGTCATCTTCATTAACACAAATATGCTCACAGCCATGGCTGACTGATTTGCAGATGTCTCGTCCTGGGAATGATTGATATAAACACAGGTTTTGAATGAAAACATGTTAAAAAAGATGCAGAAATCAAAAGAAAGTGGTTTGGTTTTTTTTTCCCAGTAAAAAGTGGAAAAATAACTCCCACAGTTCTTTACTTGCCAGATGCACATGCAAAAATGTTCAGTAAATACTGGTCACTCACTCCTGCACGTCCTGCCGTCTTCTCTCAATACGAATCCCTCACGACACTTACAGATGTAGGAATTGTCAGTACTGACACAAATATGCTCACAGCCATGGTTGACTGATCTGCAGACATTTTTACCTGGGCATAATTTAAAATATTAAAAATCATGTTAGTTAAGGGCAAGATGGTCTAAATCCTACAGTTCCCAGCTACTGAATGTTCTTGTCCTTGCTGATATACTGGACTCAATCCTGCAAATAATTTATAGCACCTGATGTCTTTTTTTGTTGTTGTAACAAAAAGGTACATCTTTGTCCTCTAATTTTACAACCTTACTATTAAGGAAAAGTGCACTGTTCCAGTTCTAGAGTTTGTAGAATTTCACATGTCCCAAGCATGACCCACAGGGATTTCCAAAGCACCTAAATCCCACATCCACATTTCAAATTTCTGGTGAGAAACAGATCTTTCTATCACCATCTTTTTATCTTCAGTAATGAACCTGCTCAAACCTGAAATAGTTATGCTTGTTTTCTCTGTTCTTAAGTTCAGAAGGTGTTTACCATTTTTCTGTAAAGTAGGATTACAAAATTTCAGTGTATGTAGTATTCAAGGGTAGTGAGAAAGTCAAATTATATGATCCTATCTATTGTAAAATTCTGGGAAGTTGTCAGCTATGATTGGGCAAGCAGATGCTCAGTTCTGATACAGAATTCAGATACAATTCATATTTCAAAATAAAATAACATAATATCTATTAATTAACATTAGATAAACTAAAATCTTACTTTCACTTTCTTCCCCACACCCTTTATTTTCCTGCAAGGCCAGAATAGAACAGAACAGTTTAGTTACAGTTGGAAGGGATGTAGAATGATCCTCAGCCCAAGTGCCTGATTCATTCAGTGTTGACCATGTTACTAAGGGCATTGCCCAAATGCCTCTTAACCTCTGACAGGATTGGGGCATCAATCACCTCTCTAGAAAGCCTGTTCCCAATCATCCCATTAACCAGAACTCAGTGCTTCAGTCTATCTAGATCCCTCTGAACTTCTGCATGGACAGAACATTTCACTTGCTTTTAGAGTGTCAGTACTTTCTGAGTCAAGCAGAATTAGTCTCTGCAGTATGGTGGTGTTACTATACACAAACTGTGACTAAGGAGCTTTTCATTTGTCATGATGATATCTGCATGACTTCTTTTTTCCTCCGTAGATGTTTTTTAACAGCAGATGTTGATAAGATCTGTGGATATTATTGGGATTACAATTACAAAATACATGACACCTGTATAGTTTTCAGAGATTTATCCATGATTATTCTCTGATCACTTAGTGATCAAAGCTATAAAAATTGAGGGAAACTTGCAATGAATTTTTTCTTGATATCTGCCACACATCATAACTGCACAATGTAGTCAAATACGTGATGTAATTATGACATCTCTTTTGCAATCATCCGTATCTCATGCTGGATAAAATGAACTTTCTATTAATAATGCTGCAAGCTTCAGGCTGTATAAGACTTTAGAAACATCATAGATTTTTGCCTTGTCCTGAGAAGAAAATTACAGCTGTCTAATATCAGGATGTAAGTATGAATAGAATAGTTTTGGGCCACATTTTAAATGGTACGGACACTTAGTGTATGAGTCAGGTCCCTAAAACTACGTATCCAGTACCACTTTAGACACCTTAGCATACCCAAGATACTGACATACTACTGGCAAATATGACACCAAGGGAGAAACTATGAACTTTTAGAATTCTTGAGCATGGACAGCAACATTTAGGCAACTAAATCTTACCTTACAGATTTCTTCTATGCGTGTAATAAAAATCTAACTCTGAGAATAATAACTTACGTTTACATGTTTTTCCATCGTTACGAAGCCTGTATCCTTCAAAACACTGACAAGTGTAAGATCTGTCGCCATTTACACACAAATGTTCACAGCCATGATCATTCAGAGCACAATAGTCAACTCCTGTAGGAGCAAATCAAGTTACTAAAAAAATCTAACAAATAATGAATCAATTATTATTTCATCTCTAGTATTTGAATGGCATATAAGCAAGTAAATACAAATATATTGAACTGCTTAACTAACAATCTGGTTCCTTATTTGATAACGTACATACAGCTTCAATAAAATGTAAGAGGGTCTCGTGGTGTACTTCCCATTGGCTACTTTAAGCACAGTTAGGAAATCATATTTTCCTATGTGTAACATGGCTCAACAGAGTCCACATCTCAGTACTTAAAACTGGAATTAAAAGAAGGACAAAGCAAAACACTTTAGCAATGATTTTCTATAGGACAGTGACAAACAATCTTGTGAACATTCTTCTTTAAATACGATCTCTAAGTGTCCAATTGTGAAGATGGCAGTCCCCAGAACTCACTTATGCACATGATCCAGCTGCTGTGGCAGCAAGCAGAAAACTTCTCAGGAACCTCAGTGAGCTTTGGCTTAGACTAGTCAAGCTTTTGCAAAAAATTGCAAGTGACAAGTACTGTCAAATACAGTCTATTTCTCATCTCAAATTTCTTCTCTGTAATACAAAGACACAGGACCCCTGGGATCCTGCAGGCAGCACTTGCTACTGTCCATTGGCAACACACAGAGTGTCACTCTTTTTTGTAATTGGCTTTCAGAGTAGAAATCCATTTACCATTCAGGTGTTCCCACTTGTGCCTGTGTATGACACTAGAACAGTAATTCCCAGATGTTTTCTTATTAGGAGTGGGATATGTTAAATGCTAATCTCTTCCATTCAACTGTTCATTTAGGAAATCCCCAAGTGCGCAAACTCTCTTAATGATAGCCTAAAAATGGCCATGAGGTTTCAACAGCTCATCTGGAGCTCAGGAATAGGACAAATCTCTTTCTCAAATATTCATGAGGAGAGGGGTGTGCTGGCAAGAAGAAGAGCTATTCAAAATGGCTCAATTTCATTGCACAGAAGGATTCCGGAAGCCACAGCACTGTTCTAGTGCTGCTGATAGGTCTCCAACTACTGCCTGGAGGAAAGTTGTCAAGAGTGAAAAACCCATCTCTTTTTAATATACAGGAAATGGGATTTTCCATTTGCAAGTTGATAAAACTCCGTAGTTCATCTGTTTCTAAATTTCCAGTGGTTCTTTCAGTTAAATGTCTAGATAAATTGCTTCTAGTAGACCCTGTTGTTACAGATACAGTAGTTTTCCTTTTGTATTACCATCTGTCCCTGCCTATGGAACTGCAGTGGCAGGCAGAAGCAGTCTGCCAAGGTATTGGATAGGGTAAAAAGGCTAGTATGGAGGCAAAGACAGGGTTAAAGACAAAGAAACTGCCTTTGCTGATTTGCCTCACTTCTCAATAGATCATTTTTGTGACTGAGCACTTGCAGTTTGGCTTCTATTAAAACTGTGTTGCTGGAGCGTAAGAAAAAGAGCAAACTCTGGAGCTGCTCCAGCACTCAACAAGCTTGAAAAATACCATACCTCTAAAATCTGTAGAAAAAAATGGCCAAACCATCTCATCAAAGAGGTCCAGGAAAAGTCAACAGGCAAAATGTATTCCCATTCCTGTTTTCTTGGCACTTTCTACGTATTATTTTTCCAGTGAAGGAGGCAATTCAGCTATTTGTGAAACTGCAATGATTCGCCATGATCATTAGATTTTTAAAGGGTGGAAAGCTGTCAGGACAACTTCTGGTCACTCATTAAAGGTTCCGGTGGAAAATGCAAAGCAGTTTGCCTGGGGATGCTGCTGTCAAGATGACCTGTCAATCATGTGACTGAAAAACTTTCCTCGACACCTGGGGATAAACAGATCTTCCAAAACTTTTCTATGTAAGGATTTACAGTTATCTTGACAAGTACCCTCTCCTAAGTCCATTTTGTCTGTTTCTGTTTTCAAACAATTATTTAAATATTTCAAAATGCAGACTGTAAGAACAAATTGAAGATGTGTTCTCTTCCCTGTACAAAACCAGAAACCTTTCCCAGGTGAGCTGAAATCAAGGAAGTTCTCACAACACTTACGTGTGCAGGTTTTTAGGTCCTCATTGATGACAAATCCTTCAGAGCACTGGCAGACATAGGAGCTATCAGTATTCAGGCACAGTTGCTCACAGCCATGACTGCTTTCAGCACAGTGGTCCACTCCTATTGATTTATATTAATAATTGAAGAAATCACACTGGAGCCTTAGATACAAGCACTATGACACTAGTTAGTACACAGTGCCTTTGCAGAGCAAGGGAAAAATATCAGTACAGCTTTTTATTTATGCAGTAACCCCACCTATTTGAGTAACCTGAGTTAATGAACAACACCTGAAATGAATACAACCAGCCCACTTGGCAGATAATGAACCTGATGAAGTGCAGATCTCCTTTTCCAAAAATCACAAAAGGAATCTAATGTGAAGTGAAGGGAGAACCTTGAAGTCCTGCCTGTTCTTACCCGCAGAATCATGCTTGCTTGCTTTACAAAGAAAGACTCTCTTGTGTTGACCATAAAATTTTCTCAGAGGGAAAGTATGAATAGTAGTAACTCTTGAAATACAAATTATGGCTTTTAGATTATTTCATACATAGTAAATTCTTTTTCAACAGGATGAGAAATCATCAATTTAAAGCTTTAACCTGCCAACAGGTTCAAGCAGTTAAAGCTTAGTGGGGGACAGATACAAATGATGAGTGTGAGAGTGTCTCAATGCGTTCCTTTTCTTTGATTTTCCTATTCCTATTCCAAGATAAAATGGGCTTTTTTTTTTTTTCTTATATGCAACTGGTTGTGTGATAGGGTAAGGGAAGACAGAGAGAGAGGTGAACTGGAATTAAAAACTATGTTGTCTCACAGAACAGACAGCAAAGCAGTAGTGTGAGATACGTGCGCTTGCAGATGTACTGTGTAATCTGCTGACTCCATAAGTACAGAAAAAGCATATATTAGGAAAAAGACTTTATACTGAACTTCCTCATAATATTTTATTGCTGACTTGTTAATGGCTATTTTTAGTCATACAGTCCAAAATCACTTTAGCTGAACTTGATCAAAAGTAGTGGAGGTCCCTCAGACACAAATGCAGCCTCGTATGTCTCTATTTGCAAATCATTTACAGATGTGAACAAGCATGTCTGAAGCTTTTGCTTACATAAAAAAAAAATAAATCTCTCCTTAATGTAAAATTACTTAGTTCTAAATATTGCTGTTTATTAGTTTATTTAACTAAGCAATGAGTTTGCAGTAATGGGTCCAGAGTCCAGATTTACTATTATACATAGATAAAGATAATGTTGGCTTGAACAAGTGAAGCCATGGTGTCAGATTTTACTAGGTAAAGCAAGTTCCAGCTGGAACATTCTCCTTTTTCCAAGAGTTTACATCATCATGAAGAGGCTTGTGTAACTTCTTACTGCACAAAAAAATGTGGAGAAAACCCCAGATTTACCTCCCCCCCCCCCAGTATTTTCTGTGAAAAATTGCATCTGTTTGGCATTGTCTTTTACAATACAAACACCCATACTAATGTGAATTTCAACATCTGAATACTTTAGGTTCTCATGGAGAACCTTTTCAAGGAGTAGTGTAATCACAAAGGTGCTAAATATCAGGCTTTAGAAATGAGTATACTGTAAATTTGGTCATTTTGTGTGCTTCATTACATATGTTAAAAAAAACACATAAGAAGGGAAAGAGACGGGGAAAGCTCAGTATTTTAAAAAACAACGAGTGTCTTGGGACATACTAATTTTTAGATATTCAACTTGTGATAGCCTAAAATCATAACAGTTAAAAAGCACTGAGCTCTGGCCACACATCCAAGTTTCCTTAAATTTGGCTTTATCACAAATATTTTATTTAGAAATAATTACTCCCTGGCCTATCAATTTTGTTTTTTTATTTCAGTAATGAGTGTTCCTTTGGAAAAACATAAGTATCAGGGGAAACAGCTGCCAGTATTTTAGATGATGTGCAGAATGGTTCTCTGTGATAAAGGTACCTTCAATAAACTGGGTGATGTCAAGCGGGCAATGTTGTTTGTTTTTTCTGGTGCAACACTGACCATTTGTTTAGTAACATTCTTACTAAAAAAGGACATTTCATCGAACAGATCATTGAAAGCATATACATATAGAAGGCAGAAGTCTCTACATCTTTCCACATACTGGCATACACCTGTGTCAGGTGTTGCAGTTTACATAGCCCATAGCAAAGATGCAGATGTTCAACACTGTCTTCGTGTTAGACATCTTGGCTGAACGCAGATTCACAGTCATCTGGATTGGAAAAGATGATGCTTTAGTTCTCTATTGGATCAGGGATCTCACTATAGCATTACTTCACTAGGCCATGGTAGACTTTACAATAACATAGGTTTGCATAGCTCAGAAAGATCTCAAAAGGGACCCACGAGTGCTTTCTCATCCTGTTCACACCTCCCCCCACTGCAGTAACTTGTCACTGCAGCTCGTAAGACACGGTCATTTCTGCACGTATTGTCATCATGTCATTGGGCGTATCCAGGATGACACTTGCATACAAATGACTCTTCCATGTCAACCCGTTCATGTTCACGATCATGCTGACCTAAAGCACAGAAGTTTACTTCTGTGGAGAGAAAAACAGTGAGGAATTCAAGCCAGCCATGAGGGTTTCTGAAGTAAAATGGCTTAGAAAAACTCACTTTTCTTAAACAGTACTGGATTCTGTTCTTTGGACACCTGCTAAAGCTGACAGTGAGTTAAGGATCTGAGAGTGGATTGCAAATATTTGGCTACACAAGACTTCGCTTTGGCTCCCACAGGCCTGCTCCTGTAGTCATCAGAAGCCATGCATCATGGTGAAGGAGGAATGCTTGATGCTACTTACCAGTGATGCATTCTCCCTGATTTATAAAGAGGGCATATTTGCAAATGTTCTGCTTTATTTTACTAACTTATCTAACATGAGACTTCTTATAACAAGTTTTGGAATAGGAGCGTAATCTTGGAAATGCCACTAAGGTTAAGAATACTGAAAAGGGAATTATAATTTGGCTTTAGTTTGCAACTACATCCTTGGCAATGAATACTTTACACAACACTGTTCTTTTTTTCCTATACTTACCAAGGCACATTCAATCTATAAGAACCTGAATGTATTAAAATATCATATAGATAATAAAAACCAGAATAGCATGGATTGCTGTAAAAACAGCACTGTGCAGACAAAGATGCTTCATGAGAACGAGTCCTTAAGACTGAAAGAAAATACAATTCCAAAACAAGATAAATTTTATGAGCGTCTAAAATATAATTATGTTACTCCAGGCAAGCTTCCTATTCATAAAATATCAGCAACACATTTCTCCTCTCCAAGCACTGAGTCACCAGATCAGGCTAGTTCATTTTACTGAACATATCCTCCTTAAACTTTAACAACATTACATTGAAAATCTGCTGTGGTTCCAGGCCCCTACTCAAGAAGGGCTGTAACACAGAAGACTTTTTAAAGTAAATAGTATGTGTGATTGGTTTAGAACCCTTACATTGCTGATGCTGTTTTTACAATTGTTTTAGGAAACTGGGGTTTCATGTGTGACATTAAGTTGATTTTAATAGCTACATTACCTACCCAGCACTTTCCCAAGTTAATGAAATACATCTGTTCTTGGGGAAGCCAATGGGGCAAGGGGTAATGGGGCAAAGCAAATAATTATTATTTTCTTTTTTCCAGCTGTTTATGTCACTAGCAGATAAGGTCAGAAAATTTCAAATAAGTAATGAACTTACTGGCTTTGAGCCACTCCTTTGTTACTCCTCAGGTTTCCATAAATCTCTTCAGAAAACATCTAATATACAATCTAGTCTACAAAACAGCAACAGTATATTCGCCAGAATGACTGGCTCAATTAAAATTCAAGTTTATAAAGAAACAATTGTTTGAACTTTAATTATAGAGAAAACTTTCATCCCTTCAGAAGGGAAACCATTTACAGCAGGTTTGAGAAATAAAAGCAGATGAACTTTATGATGTCCAAACAATTACTCACTTTTGCATGTTTTTTTATCTGGATTAAGTCTAAACCCTTCTTGGCATCGACAAAAATAGGAATTGTCTGTATTAACACATTCTTGCTCACAGCCATGGTCCTGAAGCGCACAATAGTCTGGTCCTAAATGAGGAAAAAAAATGTCAGCGAGGAGTACTATTTCTCAGAAATAATTTAGGTAAAAAATCCAGTTACTATGTTTTATTCTCTTTAGCTTTTTCTTTTTTTCTTTTTCTTTCCTAGGCACCATTCTGACTTTTTGCCATTTTGTTTCAAAATATGAAAATAAAATCTTTTTTCCAAATATTTACTATACTCGGATACACCTGATATGTGTACTTCAATGAATTCTCTGAGAGCACATGTACTACACTCAGTAGAGAAATTAGAATCTTAAATATACCTTAACATTTTGCAGCTAAGTCCTATCAAAACTGCTTCTTTATTTTACCCAGAACAAGTTAGATACTATAGGTACTAATGCACAAACACGCTTTGAATGTTGTTCATAAGACCAAAACAGGATGATTAGGTCATTGCATTGGTGTTTTAACAGCTCTGGGTGTTGCTACACAATTCTTCCATTTAAAATGCTCATGAAAGAGAAGATTAGCAAAGTCTAGAAACAGCTACAACTTGCATATAAAGTACATTAAAAAGGAAGGTAATTGTGCAGTAAGCACTGTGGCATTTACCACCTAGTGTTTACTACTATTGATGAAGTCAAAGAACCTGACATTCATTTAGATGCAGTGTCTGGCCATCACTTAGTTTTATATCAGTGGAGTTAAATAATTTATACCAGTAAAAGAATGGTTTTAACCTCCCAGCACTGCTAAAAATAGATAAAAAAGTAACAAATCAAGCAAGTCCCGCTTTTAAAGACATCCAGGCACTTTTGAACACCTCATTACACAATCTGAAAACTGACATTCAGAGGCTAATTATTATTCCCACAGGTAATTGGCATTCTGAGGCAGGAACTATTCTTTCTTTGTATATGTGGCAGGATAATGCAATTGAGCCTTTATATATGATGAAAGCCCTTAGCAATAACAAACCACCTGTATTTTCAGGACAAACAAAGTGGAATGTGACTTTCTAAGAGAACATGAGAGGGGGATTTTACCATTTATGAACTCTATGTGTTATAGAACATTTCCTTTACCAAACCTCTTTATGAGAGCATACGTACATAGACACGGACATAACAGGGATCTTATCTGTTTAATAAAACCCCCAAAATTAGAAAATATGGCTTGTTCAAGAGTGCACTGGAGAGACAGAAACCATAAAGCCATGTGGAATATAGCTGTATGCCTTCTGGACCTTCTCAGCGCTGTGTTGCAGTCACCTGCTCAAATTCCTGCTAACTGAAGTGTGCAGAACACACTTTTCCTGGGTAACTGATTCTGAAGACAACCACAAGGAGCTGAAAAACATGTATTATTATCTTTGTTGGAAACTTGAGGCTATTATCCTGGAACACTAAAAACACATTTCACAGGGCTTCATTAAGACAGTCCATTAAGTATGCTAACAGAAGGCCTCTCCACAAGTCATAGGTGATGTGAACCTGCTCACAACTCAAACAGGGGCCTTCCCTAAAGAAGAACAGTTGAAGCTCAGCACCCATAAGTACAAGCAGAAGCTTACATCTATCCTCCTGAGAGGAGCAGCAAGAGTGGCAGAAGACCTCTTAATAGTTAACGTAGCAGCTAGGAATGATCTCTTCCTGCCTCACTGATAATCTGAATTTGCTGCTCTCTTCCAGCTACACACAGAGTACTCTACTGGTGTTTGGAGGGTTGCTCTCATGAACCTTGTTCCTTGTATCTTATTGTAAGAAGTTTGGAGTAATTCCCAGGGAAAACATCTGCCAGATATGCACAACCATACTGATAACACTGACATTTTCCAGATTTTCTTTGTAGCCATAAGCATGAAAGCTTACTTTCTACTTAAGAAAAGAAAGCCAGGATGCTGAGATTATCCTGAGCTGGCACTCCAGACCCAGGACTGCTTGTTGATGCAGAGATGTGATCTGGCATGGGCGTGAGTCTTGGCCAATTGGCAATCATCCCTGAGATTCAGTATGTAAGCCAAACATAAGAAATTTATGTTAAAGGTTTCAAACTTACAAACATTTTAAATCCAGTGGTCTGAAGTCTGTTTCTTCATGTTGTTGGTGCTGACTCAGAGGCAGCGTGATTCATAACATATGGGAGCTAGAGGATACTTTTGCTCTGAAGAGCTCTCATGCTGTCTTGACTTTCACAGAATTAAGATCTACACAGTTCCTTCATTCATCCTTTATTTTATTAGTAAGGCATAGATTATATAAAGTGTAAGGAAAACTGGCTTACTAAGTTTTATTTACGCTTGAATTCAGGACATACATCTTGAAAGAGAATGATCTGACATTTCTCCCTGACTACTCCTTCAAATCAATTTCTATGGCTCCCCATGTCCAGTCACTTTGATTTTTCCCTAATTGCAACCTAATGAAATTTTTATTTTTTTTTAACTTTAAGCTAATTTAAAGCATTTAAAAAAAAATAACAAAACAAAAAAAAAAACAAACCAGAATTCAGTTAACATGGCAGAAATGCACAGAGCTGTGAAAAGCCTGTCTGGGGCCTCTGCCCCTTGGCTTGGGAGCTGCATTTAATGTCAGTCTCTCACCCTTGGTGCTTGCCTGAGCTATGTTATAGGTTATGTCTGTGCCTAGCCTTCCATTTTGCTGATCATGATATGCTGACTGGCTAACTTGACTTTTTGAATTGACCTGAGACCTCTCGATACTATGGACTTGTCTGGTGATCACCGGACTGTTGGCTGAGCCTGTTTACTGTCATAAGCCCTGTTTTGCTCCTCTTCTTTGGATACTGTGGGATCAAAGGCCTTGTCAGAGAGATTACTGGCCCTGCTTGTCTTGTGGCCATCCTTAGCTCCCAGACTGCACTCTGTTGCAGAGCATTCTTAGCCATCCTTAGCTCCCAGACTGCACTCCATTGCAGAGCAGTGTACTTTTGTGTTTTATATTAAAGATCTCCTCCATTCCACAGAGATCTAATATGAAACCATAGATGTGCCTGCTGAGAGTTTCTGGTCAAGATCAGATGGGAAATGGCAATGGGAATGTGGTGGTGGATTATGTTACCCCACCTGGGTGGGCACAAACAGATAGCAGAGGGCTCCAACTCGTAGGCTTTTGTCTTTTTGCCCAGTGACTGCTGGGCAGGTTCACAGTGGCAAGGAAGGCCATGGTCAAGCTGAGAAGTCAGTCTGCAGGTCAGGTTCTGGATCAACAAGGGTATTGCCAGGCCAGCTGGAGACTGCGCTTGACATACCTAGTCCAGTTCTGGAATAATCCTTTCCCTTCCTCCCCCAGTTAAAGGTAATAAACTGAAGAGGGCTCAATAGAGCCGTGCTGCTGGGACACAGTGCATCTGACTTGTGCAGAGAACTTGAGGAATCTGGTCTTAATAAGCCTGGTGAAAAGGAAGATATCTAATTGCAGCCTACAGTTACTTCTTGTAGGTCATTTCAAAGGTGTTGCAACTAAAACCATCTTGCTAGTGCCAAATAATGTAAATGGGAACAGAGGTCACCACTTGTGGCTTGGGTGATTATCACTGGACATGAGGAAAATGTTTTCCATTAGAGGGACAGTACAGCAGGGGAGCAGGTTGTCCACAGACCTTTTGGACTCTCCACTGGAGGTTTGTAAGACTCAACTAGACAAAACCACAGCTGACTTGATCTACAGTTTGTGGTGGGTCCACTTTGAAGAGGAAGCTGGAATAAATGACTTCCAGAGATCCTGTCTGTATTTCCAACATAAAGACAGCAGCACATGGTCAGATTGAGTTTATATAGCCCAAAGTGCTATCTCAAGCAATAGATACCTAAGAGGATAAAGACAGGACAAGCACAAAATAATACTTTTCCTGCTACTCTCTCAGCTTCCCTCATTCTGTGGATCACCAATTTTAAAAGTTTAAAGTAATTCATACAGCTAGACCATAAGTTAATAACCACTCAAGACATATAAAATGTTTATGTAGTTTTAAGGTCTTTGCTCTGTTCAAACTTGGGGAGAAAACACTGCATAAGATCCACATACTTAGTTTGAATGAGTTAACAAAAATTTGTGCTTGGGGAGTGGAAAGCACTTATACTATAATAAGATTTCAAGAACACATGGATGTGGAAGTATATGTGGAAGTATAAGAGAATTTCCAGCCCTTTATCTGACAGGTACTAGACAAATGAGCAACTTCATACAATCTATGAGCACCTTGAACCAGTACAAACTGTACTCTGGCCTTGGGGAAGTGTGTCTCTTTCCTGTGACTGTAAGGTCAGATCTACAGCCTGGATTAAATGCTTCCTTTCTAAATGCTAAAATTAAATTAAATAGATACCAAGCATAATAAACAAAACAGTTTTTTGGTTTAACATAGTCTCTCATGATAAACATTGAAATGCTCGCAAGGCTGTTAACAGCACAGAAATGCAGTTCTATATCAATGTATCTTTTTGAGAAATAATGTGTGAACATATTTTTCGATGATACAGATTAAATTCACCACTGGCATCAGCAGTTCCATTCACCTAAACTAATGGAGTTTGTCTGCTTACAGACACAATAGTAACATTTCTTTAACAAGGCCCATATTTATGAAGAAAGGTAACTAGGAAGGTGTATTAAGGGTTTTGCTTCACATTCCTGAAAGTGAGTTATGACATTAAACATTGTAGAGGCTCTAGTTTGTGTTGCCAATTACAGGAAGCTTTGGCAAGAGTACTTTCTGGTCTGTCAGTCCCCTCTACTCTATATCCACTCCTAACTCTAGTGATTTTTTAGCATGTTAGCCTGGTATCAATCAAATTTGACTAACAACAAGCAAACAAAGTCATGAAGTTATTATAACCTGGTGGAAATATTGAAGCTTGGTAGTAGATACTAAGGTTGCCAGAAATGTAGCTCACTATCAAAAAACTCACTCTTGAGAAAAATACATGGGAAAATAGGCAGCAATGTTTGTGTTCTCTGATTGTGGAACTGCTCTATTTAATTTTAGCTTGTATTACAAACCAAGCTGATTATAAATTCTCTTGTACAGACTTGTTTACCCTGCTAGGGAGATGACATTCTAACTGAAAAGTCTGGATAATCAAAAAGACTATGCAGGACAAACTTTTGGGTTTTCATTGTTGAAAAGCAGCCTATTTTCATGTTAAAAGCTTCCTCCTCATAGGAGGGAGCCCTATCCTTAGCCTCTCCCCCCAAAAAAAAACCTACCCACCAAAACAACTTGCAATGCTTTCAAGACCTTTGGCTTCCAGGGCACGCCATTTTCTATACCTGATGCATTATCCACTTTTCCCAGTCCCAATGGGAGTGTTATGGCTGAGAAGATGACAGAAGTAGTACGAACTGTTCATAATTAAACTTTATCACAACTTACTTCTGCAAGTTCTTTTGTCAGGATTTAAAATGAACCCTGGGTGGCATCTACAGTAATACGAGTCCTCAGTGTTAACACATTCATGTTGGCAACCTTGATTATCCAAAGCACAGTAATCTACAACTGAAAAAGAACAAGACCAACAGGTACAATTAGAAAAACATAATTAGAACAATTATGCATAGATATTGTGGTACATGTTACACACGGTATCTATAAAAAAGAAAGGAAAACCTGGTATAATTTCTGTCTTGAAGAGCCTTTCTGAAAAAAAAAATTAGTGCACTTTCAATACCAATTGGTAAAGCAGATTTGATATGAGTCCTGGATCATCTCTCCTACCTGTTGAACATTTATCAACTCTCAGATTATCAGGAGCCTCCTCAACATGCTTTCTCAGATCTGGAAACCCAGTAACTTTGAATGCCAGTAACTTTGTCCAGATGGTCACACTGTATGCCAGGGCACAGCAAAGTTTAATTTATTTAGTTTTGCCTTCTGTCTCTCCAGTCCCAGTCCTGGAATTACTCTACTTTTCCTCAGTTCCCTCTGTATTACTTCTCAAGAGCTGTTCCCATAGCCTAAGTATATAGCAGGCCCATGGCAATACCTTCTACAATGAGGACTGTCACAGTACACTTATTCCCCTTAATATGCTCTAGATTCATCCTGTACAAAGCAGCTGCAGCTATGAAGCCTGAGAGCTTCTGGCTGGTATTCAACACTGATATTTTGCTTATATAATGCTTTTTGTATTAGAGAAGTAAAATATCATAGCTAGTCTGGTCCCTTATTTCATAAATCTGGTCATTTATTGCACAAACCTGTATTTACAAGATAGATTGCCAAAGGGTAGTAAGGTAATGCTTTTGAGTTTACTCAGAAAAGCCCATTAAAAAGTGCTAGAAAAAAAAAACCCAGAACATTTAACTTCTCTTTGCAGGTTAAGCTGTTTCATCACAAAGGAAGTCTGAGAAGAAATTGGGTTAGTCACAAAGCAGGTGTCCTGTCCCCATAGAGCTGCCAGTCCTACATTAGGCAAGTTTACCTGAATCTCTGCAGAAAACAGTAATGTGCTCAGCTTCACACAGACATTTAATGAAACAAGCTCCCTTCTCTGCCAAATGAGTAATTTTTTCATTACTTTATACTGCTGAGCCTCCTGAATTAAGAGGCAGTAATTTGCTTTAATGAAATCAGTTCCTTCTTCAGTAGCCCTGCCTTTGCAAACCATGAGTGTACTCAGGTGTGCTAAGGTATTTGGTCAAGGTCATCTATTCAGGAAAGCAGATAATCCATTTAGCTACTTTGAAAGAGCTTCTTTTAACCCTTCAAAATATTTGTGCTGAATCAAGTTAAATTAGACCTGTTATGGGCTACTGTGTGAGCCCATTTTCCTGGCAAGCACCTTCCTGTTTCCAGACTGAATAGTTTAATATAGAAACATATTTATTGAATATATATTTCAAGGATATAATGTATCATACAATTACTCAGTTTTCCTCTTAAATTAATTCTGACCACATGCACACTTACAAGTGTTTTCAAAGACACATTAAGAAATAAGTAGGCCAAAGAATATATAATTTTTTCTACCCTGCATCATAGCTGGGAAGCAGCCCATATGGATTGCTACATAAAGTCACCTCCTCCTCCACATTTAAACTCAAACAAAATGCATTTCTACCACAATACTTGCAACTGCCTGACAATGATTATAAAGTTTAGCCTAGACTGTAATAGACTGAAATGGAATGGGATGGTATAGAGTAAGATAGGATAGAACAGCTGGAACATCCAGTAGAATGATTGTTTAGTAAAACTGCCTGACAATTTAGGCTGACCAAGTGTTAAAGGATGTCATTAAAGGCATTGTCCAAATGCCTCTTAAATACTGACAGTCTTGGGGTATCAACCATCTCTCTAGAAGCCAGTTCCAGTATTTGACCACATTCTTTGTAAAGAAATGCTTCCTAATATCCAGTCTAAATCTCCCCTGGCTCAGCTTTGAACCATTCCCACGTGTCCTACTACTGGACACCACAGAGAAGAGCTCAGCACCTCCCTCTTCACTTCCCTGCCTCAGGAAGCTGTGGATAGCAATGAGGTCACCCTTCAGCCTCCGTTTCCCCGAAACTACATAAGCCCAAAGTTGACACCTGCTCTGTCAAGCCTTTTCACCAGCTTTGTTGTTTGAGATAGGCCTTAGAATGCTTTATTATCAACATCTGAGCAACTATGAACCTAAGCACTCTCAGATTACAATCTCTGGAGGGAGGTACTGTGCCTTCTTATGGCTATATAGCTGCTAATGTGCTGTGGACAGAAACGGAAAAAAAAAAACAAGCCCAACATCAAAATAGGTAACTAACTTTTCCAGGCTTTCTTTTCCCATTTATAACCTTTAGGGGTCCACAAATGTAGATCTGTTGAAATGTGAGAGTAATGAGCATATCAATTTAAATAATGCCTTTCCAGTAACACAATTAAGAAGTCAGAACATTAGCTTGACAGTTGCTTTTGGAGCTAAGTATTCCCTCTTTCAGTAATTTTTGTATACAAATTGCCCTACTTTCAGGCTGGGTTAGCCTTGCAGGCTGGCGCTATTAATTGACCTACAAATTCATTTCACTTTCATGTTTATATTTCATTTCCATGGTACTTGCTTAGAAGGGAAACTTGCCAACAGCATTCCAGTCAGCAAGTAGGTAAGCTGTCCATGGAGTTAAATCTTCCTGAAAAGACTGAGAAAAATTATAAATATATATTTTTTTATATTGAAGTACTGTAATCCTTTAGTTGGTATGCACAAAATATACACAGTTTGTATAAGAGCAAAGCAGAATAATAATTTCCTAATATATTTAAGTTTTATTGTTTTCGTATTTCTGTACTGAGTCATGAGACATACAGTAGAATGTGAATATGTAGAGATCTCACTGTTTTTAATGTTAGTCCATGCCTATTTCAATAAGAAACTTTTCTAAAGAATAAATGAATGACCTTTTTAGTAAGCAAGCATTTAATTCAGTTGTCATCTCCCCATGTTTCTTCCACCCTATTTTTCTTAAATGGTGAGAGCCATCTTTTACTTCCAGTTACCAGTTCTGCATTCTGGGTGCCTACATTGCCCTCTCTGAACTGTGGACAGCATGGGTCACTTTTCTCTTACATTGCTGTTTTACTCCTGTGATATTTATATAGGTTATTCAGGCTTAGGAGAACAAAGTAAGTTAAGGAGAAGGGTAGAAGAAAAGGCTAGAAAGAAAAGGTGACAGAATAAGTAAAGGCATAAGGAGGATGAAAAGACATGTGAAGGAAGAGTACAGCAGACTTTTAAGAACCTAGAAAGCAGCCAAAAAAAATCTAGCAGTGCCAGGACTGCAGAGAGGTGCCAACAACTTGTCAGGAGAGGAGATCCAAAGCCCAACAGCTGCAGTAATATGGAGACAGTCTACCACCAGTGCCAGAAAAGAGAGGACAGCATGTCCAGCAACGCCAAGAAAGTGGTGAGACAGTGTCCAGCAGCATGATGGAGAAAGAATGGCTTATTAGCACCAAGCCTTAACTGGCAGGATTTTGTTCACATGGAAGGAGGGCAGTTAAAATGAAAAGCTGTTTAAAAAGGCAAACAGCTCTGCCAGCCATACTTATCACTGAGCAGACAGTTTCAAACATTGTTTAGCTTACAAATATTTTCCCAAAATCTAGCATGGGATGAAAAGCTTATGAGAAGGCTAATGGACTTTTCAAAAATATTATACCAAAAGTATTTACTGTGTTTAAATGGGGAAGAAGTGTGAGATACTTATATAGTAATAAAGAAGGAAGTAAGTTTTATGTTAAACAATTATTATAATGTATTTCCACACTTACTATTTTGAGTTGTATTTCTTCGACTGATGTTTGCTTCTTTACTGCCCATAGCAAAAATGAAAGGCACATAGTGGATGGGTTTTTAAGGGGGGCTAAACTTTGCTTAAAGTTATCTTCCCCAAAAGAGTTTGAAATCTCTCCTGGCATGACCACAAAACCAAATAGGAATTGGCAAGATATTGTCTACTTCCGAGTTTTTTCATGTATAATTTCTGTCTGAAAAGGAATTACTGAGTTTGTCTGGCTTTGTTCAGTTTTTAATGGCCACATACATCATGCCAGTACATTGCTGGCCACCTACAAGGATCTAGAATAAAACATCTGGTATGTTATTTCAAAACACCAATGTTACTTTCTGTGTGAAATTAGTTGGAACCATTTTCCCAAGCCACCACTCATTATCAGTAAAGGCCTACAAACATGCCAATATACATTCATCCTTATCTACCACTCACAGAGAAGAGAGCTTCCCATCGACATCAATGTCTGTGGCTAAACTGGATATTGATTTTTATTGAATTTCCCTTTGGTTTGTGTCAAGAGATAAACGTGAATTGCTAAACTTATACTCACCAATACAATTCTTTCCATCTGCATCAAGCTCATAGCCTTCATAACACTGACAGACGTAAGACCCAGGTGTGTTCACACAAATCTGCTCACATGCATGTTTCTCCACAGCACAAAGGTCCTGAGCTATAAAACATAATTGCATGAGTATGAAATTCTTTGAGTTTTTATAACATACATGCAGACTATAAATCAAAGCTAAATTTCAGGAAGCTATGAACAGCTCTTTAGATAGATCTCATTTTAACGCAGAACATGCCAATGTTCTGTCACACAGTGAAAGTCTTCTGCCAGCAGGAACAATCACTTCAAACTGAGGAGCTCATTCCTTCAGCTGAAGGCACAACTATTGATGGACCAGTGGTGCTTAGCAGAGTTGCTTGATTGTATGTTTCTCTAAAAGTCTGAAGGGCATTCAGGGCTTTTTGGGAAAAAAAATAATTGTGTTTAATTGTGTCTTTTTTTTTTTTTAATTCTCTTTTTGCATAACCCTCCTAGAGAAATGATGACAAGGTTGGAAAGGAAAGGAAAAGACAACACCAAAAACCTTGGGGGTATTTAATTTCTTTTATAATTTTTCAATTTTCTGTAAAATACCATAGCAAGTTACCCCTCCCAAGCAAAAGATCTCGTTAGAAAAATTACTATGACAAATGAGGTCAGTTCAGCATCTGGCCAAATGAAGCACACTGGGCTTTCTTTTCAGTAGACTACAGCTTTCTGGGAACTCTTAAGTTTCCCCAGTGAAATCTTTGGAAAGCAGAGTATTCTGTGTTACTCAGGATCAGGACTGCTCAACACATAGTGGTCTTCTACAGTTACAAAAAGGCTTTTGGAACATGTTTAGGAAACTAGCCAAGCAAATGTGAATTTTCTTTTATAGCTGTCTGCTTCGTATCAAGCGGCATGATGAACAGCATAAACAGCCATTTAACTCTCTTGTTCCAGTATAAATTCATGAAATAAAAGTAACAATGTTTCAATAAATCACAGGTATGGCAGATTTTCTTTCTTCAATGCACAGAAATACTTTTTTAGAAATAATGATATAATGAAATGTACCAAGGAACTGAACTATCATCTGTTCAAAAGACAAATGTACCTTTTTCCAACCTAAAACTAAGTTGTCAGTTCTTTGCTGATTGAAGCCATTTGGTTAAGGGTTTTTAAGAACTGAATACTAATATGGTGTACCCTCACAACGTTAAAAAAAAAAAAAGTGAATAGAAGACTGAAAACAGAGTATAACTTTAGGTACATTCCTGTCACCTTTTCTGCACTGTTTAATTTAGAAACTGTTAAAATATATACATAAAGAAACTATTTGATCATGAAAGAGCTACAAAGACATCCAAGCCTTAGATAAATACATCCTGTTTAATCAGCAGCCAGTGAGGGTAACTAAAATGGCCACAGACTGTGGTGATTTTGCTCACAGTGCTTCTCCTTACCTCCAGAAATAAGCTGATCAGTTTGTCCAGGCTTGGTCCCCTTTCCTCATGAACTCCATTACTTCTCAGGGAAGTTTTTAGACACAAAGCTGTGACCTTGTCCAAACTGCTATTGCGTCACCTCCCTCTTTCACCAAAGATTTGCACCATCCTAACACATTTAAGGCCAGTCTGATGGCTCTCAATATTAGGTTTCCAGCACTAATTGCTAAAATTGTTTCATAGTTTGGTAATGTAGAAAGAAGTCCATTAGAAGTAGGCTACAAACACACTGAATGACTCATTTCCTTTTCATATTTAGCAAACTGCAATCTAGTATCATCTGATCGGTGATCAAAGCAAGTACACAATCAAGCAAATCATGTGTGACAGGTAAGTGGGGAAAAATAGTATTAGATGGTCATAGCTAAAAAAATAAAAAAAAGTCAAGCAATGCAGCAACGGGCTTTGAAAAGTGGTAGAAAGGGACCAGACTGAGGGCTCCGGTGCACTTGTGCTACTGTGTCACCAGGAGGAAAACTACAGACAACTCCAGAACTCTCTTTGAAATTAACCTGTAATTTGAAGCAGGTCAGTACCCAAAAGCTGAACTACTGGCTGATGGAAAGTATAGAAATGTAACACAACAAGGAAGGTGACACAATAAAGAAGGAATTTTTCGTACTTGTAATTAAATTTTTTTCTAATTGACTCACACAAAAAAATTCAACAGTCAAAATTGATGTTAGGCATAAGGATGGGGACAATGCGTGAGAGGAAATTAAAAAGAAATTCTGAATTTCAAATAATTTCTAGAAAGGCAAAAGCAAAAGAATTCCTTCTAAGAAATTCTTTAATAAACTCAATAGCATGAGGAGGGTTTAAAAGAAAGATTCAAAGAATATGAAAGTTTTAAATTAGAAGCATTTTAAGAAGGACACAATGAAAAGAACAAGTTAGAGAACATTACTGAAATGTGATTACATAGTTGGAGCCATCATTTGGGATTCTGACCACCCTCTTTCTGAAAAGCTATAGCAGATATGCGGAAGCAGAGAAAACAAGCTGTGTGAAAAATTGTTCTTGTCACTACTCTTGTCTTGGCTCAGCTACTAAACTAAATAATAATTATGAAATATTCCAGATTGGATTGAAATTTCCTTTAGAGGGGAAAAAATTTTGTGTCTTTTTGAGGGGGAAAAAACCCCAAAACCAAACCCCAAAGAAAATGTTTAATTTGTTCCATCTAACACAAAACATTCCCTTGTGATTTACATACATGCATATGACAAATGTCTACATTTGGTGAAGGATGCTGCTGAGAAGGGCTAGAAAGTAAAGATTCCTAAAAGTAATGCATCCGGTAGCTTGACATCACAGGAAGTCTCCCACTGCACATGCGAGGACTTTAATCCCCAAGTTGCAGAGTCACCTCAGATACTCTGAGTGGTCATTAAGCATCTGATACAGAATACAACACTAAGCAAAAGTGATCCCAAGATATCTGATTGTTTTTACAGCACTCTCCTGAGATGTGGAACATGAGAGTTCAAACACAAGGACAGGATTTGAGCCTTCATCCTTCACCTTAACTCTAAATTATCAGTCGTGAGGGGTATGTCCTATGCTCTCACCATGACTGTCTCCTCCAATGTTTTGAAAGATGTTTTCCAAGATTTTTCTTCTGGCTAAAACCAGTTTGTCAAATTTCACTTGAATCCACGCACTGTCACGCGACAAGAAACTGCATTTGTAGCAAGTACATCTTCCACAAGTAATTAAAAATAGTATTACATGATTTCTTCAAAATAATGGTGGATACAGAAATAAATTTGGCATACCCATCTAATGTAGTCCGCTGTTAATTACTAGGAAGCAAGTCAAACTGGACAAAAGAAACACTGCTACAAAGATCAAAGAGTGAAAAAAGTTCATTATTATAAATTATAAAGCTAAATATTTAAAACTGAAAAAAAAAATCAACCCTTTTAAAGAAGGAAATGAGAGCATAAAGAAGGCTTTTGAAACTATTCTTTGAACTGTTGCAAACCCTTATGCTCCAAACAGCAGTTCGGAAGAGCTTTTCAGAATGGCAAATTTTTTCACAGATCTCTAATATGGGGTTTATTGCACCTTTCTGTACTATTTAGCACTGGTTGCTACCTAGACAAGTTACTAAAGTAGTTAGATTCACCTCATGCAAGATGATAAAACAGTTCTGTCTTTGATTATTGCTTCACTGTTGAACCTACTACATCAATAGAACTCAAATGTAATTTTATCCAGTTTCAGTGTACCTCTGAAGAGCTGTTTATAAAAATTAGCTAGATGCATTTCAGAAAGGTTTGTAAGAACTTTAATGATCCAAAACAAAAACAAAGAATTAAAATTTCACCTTTTTAGACTCTTATGATTACCATTAATTATATACTGAGCTCAGTCCCTAAAGGGTAGGTGATATTAAGCACTTTTTCAGAGCATGAAAGAGAAAAGTTAAGAAAGATAACATACTGCTGCAAGTCTTATGGTCAGCATTCAGAATGTATCCTTGTTTACATCTGCATAGGTAGGAGCCTGGGGTGTTTATGCAGAAGTGATCACACTGATGTTCAACTATACTGCACATATGGGGCACTGAAAGAAAAAAAGTAAAACGTTATTAACTTCTGGTCTTGCAGTCACAACCAAAATAAATAAAAAGTATAGAAGATTTTACTGAAGCAATTCGTAAGTTTCAAACTAAGAGTTGACAGTAAAGACAAAAATGGAAGCTTAAACCTGTAAGATTACAAAAAAAAATCCTTAACAAACAATACTATATTCCTAAAAAAAAAACCCTATGAAGTTAGATATTTTCTGTCTGGTTGACATTGGTGACATGCTTTTGGACATGAAATTTCATGTAAAATGGGGATATAAACAAAACAAAAATAAACAGTAGAGTATCTGGAAACAGTAATTACTTGCTGGTCCCAAGAAGACAATGAAACAAACCTACCACATTCAAATGTAGAAAATGAGTAGAATTTAAGTACAAACTGTTCTAGTGGACATTCAGTATCTTGAATGAAGAAAATCACCACACAGCACAATACCAAAGAAGAATAACTAGAAAACAACTTGATGACGAATCATCAAACGACTCGCTCAATTATTAATAGTGAGAAACTTACAAGCAATATATGGCAATCCTGAGGTCATGCACCTCCAAGCTCCAGTAAATGGGAGCTGAGCTGAGCTACACTCTAGAGTCTAATTTTAATGTTTGCATTTTTTATCTCAAACAGCAAGTAATAAAAAGCAACAGATTGAGACAGCAAAAAAAAGAAAAAGAATTCTGACAAATTCATTGCTGAACTATTTTTCTTAAGTAGTTGGGAACTAAGAAATCTTCTGGATTTTATTCTTCTCACAGGAGCATTGCTGTAATATAGGTGAATGACTTCACAGGGAACACTGTGTGGAAAATAATCTATTTTGCACAACAACAATTACGGATTGATGCGCTCCTTATTCTGCTAGGTCAACAAAGCTCAAGATTTATGGCATAGGTATTAACAGTAATCTTCCAGGAGCCACAACAGAAGCCTGATAAATAACTTAATATGTGGTATGTGTGGTACTTGTGGGGGTAAAAAAAAAAAAAGTGGTTTTAAGATACATACCAAATATGTGGTCTTTGGAATGGTTAACAGAGCTATGCATACAAATACGCAAACCACCATTTCTTAATCAGCTTTTTGGATCTCATGATTTTCTGCCACAATAAAACTTCTCAAGTACTTTTATTTATGTGAATACAGACCTGCTTGGACTTCTCTTTTCATCTTTCTGCCATTCTGAAAATGAAGTTTATCAGAAGATACTCCCTAAACAGATGTTTCTTCCTGGCTATATGTCACCAGCTTGCAATATCAGGTACGGCTTTTTATGACCAAAGAAGCACTTTCAAATATGACAAATGAAAAATATATTCATTTCAGTAGTTTAAGCATCAGAATATCTCACCATGTACTAAAGCTATAGAGTGTAAATCTATAGACTATTACTGCAAAGTCAGTCCTCCCATAACAAAAGAACATAAGGTTGCAAAACAGAGTACTAGGAAATGAAAAGGGAAAATAGAAGCATTCGATAATGGGCACCCTAATCACTCAGTCCCTTCTGAGAATTCAGTTACCATCTGTTACCAATCTTCTGATACACTACCACAAATTTTTTCCAAAATGTCTCTGTTGCACCCATTTTGAAGAATCAGTGATACTCTGGTCATCAGTTTGTGTCATTTGTGCAACCTCATTTGTTGCAGAAGGACTCAGCAGTGGACAGCAGTATTAGAAAGGGTGAACTCATAGTTGAAGAATTTGAATGCGAGCCTTGTGAATCAGATTTTAGCCCAGCCTATGTCATAGGATCCTTATTTGATTTTGAGCAAGACAATAATATTAACATCTTCAAGCAAGCATCAACCTTCATAGATTCAGTGTGAGATTCATGTGTTCGCATAGGTACACCTGTATCTGGATTTGCAAGAATGCAGGGCTCTCTCAGCTGCAATGGTGTTCCTCCAATGTAAAATGGGGATGACACCACTTTACAGGAGAATATTTGAGACTTTATATGCTCCTGACTCATCCATCCCCATTTCTGTTTATCTTCTTTTGAGTTTTCCACTCTCATCTCACTCCTCATGCCTCTGATTTCCCAGGATACTGTTTGCTTCTCTTTTATCTTGTTGACTGGTACTTAAAAGAGGCTGCTGGTTTCCCCTGGCTTCAACTGCTGTTTCTGACACCCCTACATCTTTAGCAGCCAGACGCAGCAACTGTAGGGAAAGTCTGATTTAGCAGAGGATGGAGCACACACAATTTATTTGGATTCTTTTGAGAATATAGCTGATAGGCACTGGGTGATCTCTGCCATACATGGGTAAGCAGTAGTTAACTTGGTCTGTTTTTTATTTTTCCCATAGAGCTTCAGCAGCTGGCCAGAAACCTGGAATCTTCACAGAAACCATGAAGACACATTCCATGGGCATAAGGGCAATCCAGGCACAAGGAAAGCTCAGGTGCCATGGTCTTTTCCCACAGCAAGAAGCGCAGCAGACTGCAATGCCAGAAGACTTGACCAGAGTGTTGTATTCAATAGCTCTAGCAAAGAAACAAGATGTCCAGATGTTTGACTACAATGATATTGCCTCTGGGTCCACACTGGGAAGGACTTAATAAAACTAACCACATTTCCCAGGAGGAATGTAGGTGCTCTAGGAAGCAGAGGCTATGGATTTTTAGATTGCTCTTTTGAAATTCAGCAAGCTGAACACTGCTTCACAGCCCAGACTCAATAAAATATTAAGGATCCTATCTGCAATTTAGTCCCTTAACCTGAAATCTATAAAAATCTAAGAACCTAAATTCTCTGTTGCATCTGGGCCTGGGTCAAGTGCGTTTTGGAATCTCACTTTCAATTCCTGACACAGCAAAATAGCGAAGGCATTGCCTGACAGAAGGAGGCAGCAGCAAACTTTGTCACCTCCATACTCCTTCATCTGTAGGGGGGCATTTTTATTGAGGATCACATGTGTTTGGATTGAAAGTGAGTTATAAAACTCTAATACATTTACTCGGCATTGCCTAGCCTGAAAAGAAAAAATGAGTAAGTGGTATTTGCACTGGATTGATTTCTAAAATGCAATTAAAAAAAATCAGTCAGATGAAGTTCTGAAGCATCTGCTGTTCATTCCATTTCAACTCTCAACCCATGTTTAGTTTACTCTTTCTTGGTTCTTAAATGTATCTTACTATGCCAGCTAATTATACAGCAAAGAAGAAACAGGAAAAAAGTCTATTATCTGATGAATGTCTGTGATGGAGTTGTGTTTATGCAGTTCAGCTGGAGCCCTGTTAGCCTGAAACAATTTTGGAAAAGACCAAGTAAGGAAAATTCTCCAGACTATCCTGACAATAAGTCTCAGTTCTTTTCTGGCAAAACCATCCCCCGAGATGAGTGAGTATTCAATCCCACCAGGCCTTCTTTTTCTGGACTCTGCCGAAAATGCCTCAGCTTAATGCCAAATCTGTATGAAGATCTTTCAGATTTGTCTCAGAAATAAAGAAGAAGCTATATTAAGTGCTCAGATTGGAATAAAATTAATTATGTATGCCATGGTATTTGTGAAAGATAATTTCTTATCAGGAAATTACAGATGGAAGCGATTTCTGTGTTGTAAATTAATACCTATTAAAATATTTATTGTATGAATAAATGGTATCACTGTAATGCCTTTTCCTTATTTTCTATATTTAAAATGGATGGAATAGAACCCCTACCATGTCTCTGTGTCTCACTTCCAGTCACTAGGCACGTGCAGAGGTAATTGTTTGCATAGAATTAATATGTAAGCTTTGGAAGAGGAATCCACGCACTCCAGAGATTTATTTAAATAACCAAAAGACCATTTATCAATTTGAAGTTTAAGTACTAAGAGAGGTCACATTTAAAATCAATAGATGAAACAACTTATCTAATATTCAAATAGCAGAGGGTTGTAAATTTATCGCTATTATGCAATGAACAGGAAAATCATGATATGTGTGTTTGCCTCACTGCTTATGACCACTAGGAATTAGATCACTGTTTATGGCACACAGCAGTCGAATTAGTTTTTTCCCATATATATGACTGCTGTCCTGAATGTTGCCTAGCTAGTAAATTCTAACAGACAAGACTTCATGTAAAAAAAAAGCTTAGTTATAATGCATATTTTTTTCCATGTTTTACTTTCATCTCTGCATTCAAAACTATAGATAAAATCCTTACCACAAAGTTTAGTCTGGAATGCAGATGTCAGTGTTTCAATCTGACTGAAATTAGCAACCAGAAACACATGCTCTTCATGTGGTTCACTGCCAATAGACTTCAGTGTGTTCATATCTACTCTTCCCACTCCAATGGCAAAAATCAAGATTCCCGAGTTGCGTGCTTTAGCAGCAATCTCTGCCACTGGATCCTGTGGTCTCCCATCTGTCACAATCATGATAATTCGGGGCACATTCTGCTTCAGAGGTCGAGCTCCTTCTGACTCTGAAAACGCAATGTTCACTGCATACTGAATGGCCAGTCCGGTCATGGTGCCAGTTGCCAGGTGCATCATCCTCCTCACTGCTCTTTCGATATCCTGCTTCCTCCTGAATGTCTTCAGTGAAAACTCCTGTTTGACTGTGCTGCCGTACTGAATCAGGCCTACACGGGTGGCATCAGGACTGATGTCCAGAAACTTCAAGATGGTTAAAATGAATTCCTTCACTTTTTCAAAGTCGTAGTGACGTACGCTGCGAGAGCTGTCAATGATGAAGACCAGGTCCAGGCGTTTGTTGTTGCAAGTATTTTCTGGAAGGCAAAATGCAAACAAAAATACTTCACAAGAATTTCAAAATGCAAGTCAGTTTAGGTTGACCTGATACTTAAAGCATGCTGTCTCAATAACCACAAGTGCTGGGAAAATACAGGAGAAACAGGAGATGCCAGTACTAAAGCTACGTAGGAATACAAATTTCTCCTCTAGTAAACAGCAAAAGCTGCCTGTTATATGATCAGTATATGTTACATATTTTATTTTTTTGGTGAGATCAGTCCCCAGAATAACCAATGGCAGTAGAATGGGTATGTATTTGTGCTGTACTTTGTTATGTCATTTTGCTTGAGATACACCATGCAGAATGGAAACCCTCTCCAAATTACACAGTTATAACTTGAGTGGGATGCACTGTGATGCTTTTTGTGGTAGTGCCTGAGAACTTAGAATAACACTCTGATGAGTGAGGGAGGTACCAGTCCTCTGTAACAAACAGGGAAAACAGAACACACAGAAATTCAGGTCAAAAACATCTGTAGATTGCAGTGACCGATGCAAGATGTGAAGGGTCTGATTTTTCAGGGAACTTGGCATTAATCAGTACTTTGCATATTCAAAGTACAGCTCTCAATGACATCAACTGCAGCTGTGAGTGATCAGCACTTCTGTAAATCAAACCCTATGATTTCAAACACATAATTAATGGCCATCTGGGAAAAGTCTCATATATTGGACTAATTCAGCATCTCACACAAAAATTCTGTGGCTGCATCAGAGAGAAAATCCTGTTGTCTGCAGCAGCATTCAACTTGGCCAAAACACTACGCATACACTTCCTGAAATCTTCTGTTTCAGCCATCAGCAGTCTTTTTGTTTCCAAGAGCCACTGAAGCAGAAATAATACAGGGTACGTCTATATCTGACTATTGCACAGGCAGAGAGTCCAAGCTACCATGAATAACAGCAGAAGTGAAGGCTGGCTGCTTTCTGGGCATACTACCAGCTTTTTGGGACCCCCGCTGCATCCTCTGGTGTCTGCTTAGCATCCTTCTTTTTTGGAAAGAATGTAAGACTTATGGATGAGTTGCATGATGAGAATGGACTACGGTCTCATTGTCTGGACCACTCACAGAAAGCCAGCACATGGCAGGCTTGAAGCAAGCAAAGGGAAGCGAGCTATGAGTTGTGCCACAGTAGGCAGCATGTGGCAAAAGATCAAATGGACTTTAAAGGGCTCAACGGGATACTGGTGATGGAAAATCAACTGAGGTTTAGCACATCAAAGACCCCTCCAGATTAGGAAATCCCTGAGCCACAAAAGCATGGCAGCTGGGAGAGTACTTGCAGGTAATACTGTCTTGCTCTTAAAGTTGTTCATATGCAACCACTTTTGACTACCGTCAGAGACAGGACACTGGATTAGACGGACGAATCAGTGCCTCCACTCATGCTCTCAAATTTCTATGGCTGCAAACAAACCTGTGAGGTAGCTAGGTGTCTCCCTGGCTTGAAAGATAAAAGGTGGCAAGATTGCTCATCAAACTGCAGTGGTGTCCTCATTTTACTAAACTGAGATATCACTAATCTCCCTTTATTGCCCAACCTAATTCAATTCTCAGCTCACTCTCATCTGTCTTATGCAATGAATGAGGCAAATGCCTGGTGGAAAAGTAGTATTTGTGTAATTAAAGGTCATGTCATATGGCACAAGTACAAGTGGGCCAATCAAAGATTTAACAAGCCTTTACATGGGTTCACTGGTAACTGCTGCTGAACACTAGTCATGTACTTCTGCCAAGGAAAAGGGTGAGAAAGATGCCTGTTTTCACTTGCTAACTCAGAAGCCTCTTTCATAGATTACCAAGAACATTCGTGGGCATAGAATAAAAATGTCCTTTGATGACAATACAAATGACTGCCTGGATTTAGTCATGTGCAGTCTACAGTATGGCTTTATTCATAAGCGTAGGAATATACTCGGGTTGCTCATTCTTTCAAAAGCAGAGGATACTGAATGCAAGCCAAATTGAGCAGAAACAAAATTCCAGTTCTAATGGAATACAGATATCCTGACATAACTATTTTTTACCTCAATATCTTAGTGGTATATCTAATTATTAATTATTTTTACTAATATAGCATGCAATATTCCAGCACAATTTTAATACAAAGAAAACACTAAGATATGATTTGTGGGAGCAGAGCAAGGGGAAAGAAAGATAATTACAGAAAAAAGCCTAAGAATATGTGTGTGTGTGTATGAGGGGAAAGACAGAGAAAGGTAAAATGACTGTTATTGTATTTCCCTTAAAACAAGTTGAAACTAGACCCATGGTGTTGAATCTTTTTAATTTGAGTATAAAGATTTGGATCCCAGGCTGAAGAGACTCAGTTATGTATTTTGAAATCAGGCATGAATCTTGGTGGGAAAAAGCCTGGACAGCATTAGTGGATTGTAGTCTCAGAAACACACCCCATTGTGCTAAATTACTTAAGAAAAATCAGTCTGGATATAATACAGTATATTTCAAAACTGCTTTCACCAGCAAAATTCTATCTGTAGAAATACCACATATTTCCAAAATGTATTTAAAATCTTTGTCTTTTGATTTGGTGGCAATTTTAATAACCTTGTAATTATCAAAGCTGATATAGCTGAGATGGGCTTCATGAAAAATAAAAACTCTATTTAAACAGAACTCCAGCTGGAACTTTTGAGGAATGGCAATCAGTAATGACTAACAGATCTGAACACCCATCCTCTCAGATAAACTTTCAGTGACACATTTTAAGCAGTTGCATGCTTCTGCACTTGCCCTTGAAACTATAACCCCTTCCTCTCACCAACCCTCATTTTAAACAGGGAACTTTATGACAACTTTGGCAAACATAGTAGAGGATCTGGTTCAAGACCATCTTAAGAACCTGAACATTCACACGTCCATGAGACCTGATGAAATCCATCTGCGGGTCCTGAAGGAGCTGGCAAATGAAGTTTTCCGCATTTTCAAGAAGGGGAAAATGGATAACACAGGGGAACTACAGACAAGTCAGTCTCACCTCTGTGCCTGGCAAAATCTTGGAGCAGATTCTCCTGGAAGGCATGCTAAGGCACATGAAAAACAACAAGGTGGCTGGTGAAAGCCAGCAGGGCTTCACTAAGGGGAAATCCTGCCTGACCAATTTGGTGGCCTTCTATGATGGGGCTACAGAACTGATGGACAGCGGTAGAGCAGTTGACATCATCTACCTGGACTTGTGTAAAGCATTTGACACTGTCCCACACGACATCCTTGTCTCTAAATTGGAGAGACATCAATTTGACGGATGGACCACTTGCTGGACAAAGAACTGGCTGGATGGCCACACACAAAGAGTTGTGGTCAATGGCTCAATGTCCAGCTGGAGACCAGTAATGAGTGGTGTCCCTCAGGGATCTGTGTTGGGACTGGTCTTGTTCAGCACCTTTGTCAGTGACATGGATAGTAGGATTGAGTGTGCCCTTAGCAAGTTCGCTGATGACACCAAGCTGTGTGGTTCGGTTGATACGCTGGAGGGAAGGAATGCCATCCAGAGGGACCTTGACACGCTTGCGAGGTGGGCTGATGCCAACCTCATGAAGTTTAACCATGCCAAGTGCAAGGTCCTACACCTGGGTCGGAGCAATCCCAGGCACAGCTACAGGTTGGGCAGAGAAGAGATGCAGAGCAGCCCTGTGGAGAAGGACTTGGGGATGTTGATCATAGAATCATAGAATCGTTAGGGTTGGAAAGGACCTTAAGATCATCTAGTTCCAACCCCCCTGCTGTGGGCAGGGACACCTTATGCTAAATCATATCACCCAAGGCCTCTTCCAACCTGGCCTTGAACACTGCCAGGGATGGAGCATTTACAACCTCCCTGGGCAACCCATTCCAGTGCCTCACCACCCTAACAGGAAAGAATTTCCTTCTTATATCCAACCTAAACTTCCCCTGTTTAAGTTTTAACCCGTTACCCCTTGTCCTGTCACTACAGTCTCTAATGAAGAGTTCCTCTCCAGCATCCCTATAGGCCCCCTTCAGATACTGGAAGGCTGCTATGAGGTCTCCACTCAGCCTTCTCTTCTCCAGGCTGAACAGCCCCAACTTCCTCAGCCTGTCTTCATATGGGAGGTGCTCCAGTCCCCTGATCATCCTCGTGGCCCTTCTCTGGACTTGTTCCAACAGTTCCATGTCCTTTTTATGTTGAGGACACCAGAACTGCACACAATACTCCAGGTGAGGTCTCACAAGAGCAGAGTAGAGGGGCAGGATCACCTCCTTCAACCTGCTGGACATGCTTCTTTTGATGCAGCCCAGGATACGGTTGGCTTTCTGGGCTGCAAGTGCACACTGCCAGCTCATGTTCATTTTCTCATCAACCAACACCCCCAAGTCCTTCTCCACAGGGCTGCTCTGAATCTCTTCTCTGCGCAACCTGTAGCTGTGCCTGGGATTGCTCCGACCCAGGTGTAGGACCTTGCACTTGTCATGGTTAAACTTCATGAGGTTGGCATCAGCCCACCTCATAAGCGTGTCGAGGTCCCTCTGGATGGCAAACTTCACATGAGCCAGCTTCAGTGTGTGCTTGCAGCCCAGAAAGCCAATCGTATCCTGGGCTGCATCAAAAGGAGCATGACCAGCTGGGCGAAGGACGTGATCCTGCCCCTCTACTCTACTCTCGTGAGACCTCACTTGCAGTAATGTGTGCAGTTCTGGTGTCCTCGACATAAAAAGGACATGGAACTGTTGGAACAAGTCCAGAGGAGGGCCACGAGGATGATCAGGGGACTGGAGCACCTCCTGTATGAAGACAGGCTGAGAAAGTTGGGGCTGTTCAGCATGGAGAAGAGAAGGCTGCCTGGAGACCTCATAGCAGCCTTCCAGTATCTGAAGGGGGCCTATAGGGATGCTGGGGAGGGACTCTTCATTAGGGACTGTAGTGACAGGACAAGGGGTAACAGGTTAAAACTGAAACAGAGGAAGTTTAGATTGGATATAAGGAGGAAGTTCTT